AAAGTTTTTTAATAAAAAAATTTATATAATTGTGTGCAAAATGGCCTTAAATAGACTTGGTCAAATATTACACAATGGAAAAGGGAAATGCAGTGACATTAATAAGTCAGGGAATAATGTCATAATTGATCACGGAATGTCAGGGAATCACAGTTGGAATTACTTGTACAGACATTCTTAATAGTTTTATAATAAAATAAAGTTTTGTAATAAATATTGTGATTTACCATTTTTTCATTATACATTAAAGATATTTAATTTGCATTTTTATTCATAGAAAAATTATTCATCAATAAACAAGTAATTTGTTTTTAATAGTTACAGTCAAGATGCACCAGAATTACAAGTACGCAAGTTAGGTGATTTGGCTTTCATGTTTCAACTTTATGACCTAGCATATCAAGCGTATCATAGTGCAAAACGAGATTTTAGTAATGACCAAGCTTGGCTTCATTATGCAGGAGCAACAGTATGTATGAACTTTTTTGAAATAAATTTTTGAAATTTGTTCCAGTAAGATATAAAAGGACCTAGCCAAATAAACATGTAAAAAGTGACTCTAAATCAAATTGAATTTTATTATATGATATATGATTGGTTTCTCTTGGCATAAAACCATAATGTAGGAACTTTTAAGTCTTTAACTCTTTTTTGTTTAATAGAAATTTAGGAAAGTATGATTTCAGTGTTTAATTTTTCTTCTTTTATGAGCATTTTAAAAAGATATTAAAAAATATGGTGTTATTTACATTATCATTTTATATCTGAAAAATTTAGATTTTTTGGCACATAATCCAGATTTAAAAAATAAATAAAACTTCAAATACATTTTTCTCATTGAAAATGTAACAGTTAACAGTACTGTCTCCATTTGATTTCTATAAATATGTTTGCAAGAATTGAAAAACACATAGTTTTTCATATTTTTTAAATATGTGAATGGAAATTTAAAAAAATTAAATCCAATTTTCTTTTAATAATTAAAATTTTTATTTTGCTGTGAAATTATGAAAAAGTTGTTATGAAAGATTTCTACAGATATATCAGTCAGAAACTTATCTACATAAAATATTTGCTTATTTTTTTGAGGCAAAGGCAAATTATCTTTCTGAAAAGATTTGATAACTTCATTGTATTGAGATTTGTTTTTGTTTTAATTCAAGTATTGCATTAACACTACTAGAATATTCAGTACAAAGTTTATACAAATAAGCAACCAAAGCTTGAATGACAGCTTGGCATTGAAAATTATTCATAGAATTTATAGAAATTCATGAAGTTTTGTTAGGTTTTCCCAAGTCAAACTGGTAAATAAATACTCCAAAGCATTCCTCTGAAAGAGTAAAATTACCTACCTTATAATTTATTGTATTTTCACTATGTACTGAGATACTTGAAATATTTTTCAGTTTATCAATATCTACCAGGTTGTTCAATAAGTTTTGTCGTTCGATAAGAAAAACACGATTTTATGGTTTGAAATACATTTTATTATTCAATATAATCTCCCTGAACTTCAATACACTTGTTCCAGTGATCTTCTAATTTATGGATTCCATCCCTAAAGTGAGAATCGGGAAGACTGTCGAAATACGCATCCACGGCTGCTATTACCTCTTCGTTCGATGAAAATCGTTTCCCACGCATGTATTTTTTTAGATGTGAGAACAGCCAGAAGTCAGAGGGAGCTAAATCTGGCGAATAGGGAGGATGTTGCAACAATTCGTATTTTAATTTACTGATTTTTGCAATGGTTTTTTGAGCTGTGTGAGAGGGGGCGTTGTCTTGATGAAAAATGATTTTTTTCTTTTTTAAACCAGGTCTTTTCTCATGAATTTTTACATCTAGCTGGTCCAAAAGGTTACAATAATAATCTGAGTTTATTGTTTTACCAGTTTGGAGGTAATCCACAAACAAAATTCCTTTTGCATCCCAAAAAACTGATGCTAACACCTTCTTGGCCGATTTCTGGACCCTAACACGCTTCGGAGCTGAAGTACCGGGTTCACACCACTCCTTAGCCTCTTGTTTTGATTCAGGATCATGGTGGTAGACCCATGTCTCATCCATAGTGATGAAATGACGCACAAAATCCTTTTTATCCTTTCTAAAACGCTCCAAATGTTGCTGAGAATGTGTTTTTGTTCCATAGTTAGCAAATGTGGCACCCATTGTGCACACAGCTTTCTGTAACCCAAAACTTCAGCCAAAATATTGCTCACACTGCCTAACGAAATCCCTAGGGCTTCTACTAAATCTCTCTCAGTTAATCAACGATCTTCCAAAACCATATGCTGTATTTTTGCTACGATTTCTGGTGTTGATGCACTTTTTGGACGTCCTTCACGTGGATCATCTTCAAGACTCGTACGACCACGTTTAAATTCAGCAACCCATCTTTCTACTGTTCTGATTGAAGGTGAAGAGTCCTTTTACACTTTTAACAATCGTTCATGAATTTGTTTTGGTGCTACACCTTCCAAAAATAAGAATTTTATCACTGCACAATATTCGATTTTTTCCATTGTAAAAAAATACAATGACACATCGACTTTGAACAGCTGCAAATATACAATGAGTTGACTGATCTACTTGAAACTTGACACGTGTTTATGAAATAGTAGTACTATTTTTAGAGTAATAAAGTGACGCTCCTACTAGCGCCACCTATTATCGAAGGACAAAACTTATTGAACAACCTGGTAGTTTTAATTTTTTTAAATTTCCTTTATACACATATGCATAATATTCAAAGTTTTCTTCTTAGATTAACTTTTTTCATATTATATGATTGATACTGTATTTTCAGTTATATTAAATACAACTCAATAGCATGTATATTATTAAGTTATATTTGAGTTTAAGCTTTTTGTTTAATAATCCACATAAAATGATTGTCTTCAATGATTGAATTTTAGTAAATAAAAATAGACATCGTTGCTAATTTTAAACAAAATATATCACTTAATAAAATCATAGAATTATTTATTGAATAAAATTTATAAACATCATCAATTTAATATTATGGATTTGTTGTTACTTTTTAGATATTGTAATATGTGTAAATTTTATTTCAAATATTTTGACATATTTAATTATAAACCACAAGCTTCCAGTTTAAGATTTGAATTATTTTCCTTCATATTTTTTAACCAAAGCTGTGTAGCATGTTGACAATATACAAAATTTGCAATTTTTGGATCAGATTTTATTTCAGTGATTGAGAATATTCATTTTCCAGACTGTTCTATACAGTTTTTCTTCTTCTTAGTCCTATGCTTTTCAGAGGGCATGGTGATATTACAAATTGACAGCTTTACTTGTATCTTTCCACTGTTCGTGGCATTGTAACATTTGGATGGCTTCATACATTGAAGCCATTTGATGGTTTGAAGCCAAGAATTGATGTAATCCTGTAATCATCATTACTTGGTCTACCCACCTAATCTGACATCTGCCTCTAGGGCATTTGCTGTTGATCTTCCCTTCTAGAATTTGTTTCTCAAATCCATTTTTGCATCTGGAAATATGTCCCAAGAAGCGAAGGTGGGATTGGTATATTTTAGTGGTCAGGCATGTTGTGATTTTCAGATGATTTAGGATGGATGAATTTGGTGCTCCATCCAAGAGATTCTCAGCATTCTTCTATATGTCCATATTTCAAAGGAATCAAGTTTCTTCTGAGAAGTGGCATTTTTAGTCCAGGTTTTTGAGGCATAAGTGGCAATCAGAAAAATAAGTATTCTTATGAGCTTTAGTTTATTAAAAATAGTGATTGCAGAATCTTTCCAAATTCTAAATAATTTAGAGGTTGCATTGTGAGCAAAGCAAATTCTGCATTTAATTTCATTATCACATCCTTTTTTATTCATAAGAAGTTATCCAAGGTAAACAAATTCATTCACCACCTTATAGCTTGCAATTTCCTTGGTCTGTGTCAGGAATGATCAATTATCATATTTATAACTTTTGTTTTACTTCTGTTAATCAGCAATCTATATTCCCTGCTCTCAGTTTCAAGTCTTTTCATAATATATTCAAGTTCTGATTTACAGGATGCTATAAGTGTATTGTCAGCATATCTCAGTTTGTTAACTTTACGGCCCCTGATGGAAATGCCTCTGTCCCAGTTATCTAATACCCTTCTCATGATTATTTCAAAATAAGCATTAAAGAGTAAAGGGGAAAGAATACATCCCTGTCTTACACCAGCTTCAGATGTAAATATATTAGTTTTGTTAACTCTTACTCTTGCAAAGTTGTATTCATATAAATTTTTGATCATTGAAATAAGATGATGCAGGACTCCCATGTTCTGGAGAGTGGGCCACAATTTCTGCCATTTTACACAATCAAAGACTTCGGTATAGTCTTTGAAACAAAGGTAAGCTTTGACATTAAATTCATAGGCTTTTTCAATCATTTTTGTCAAGCATTCAAGATTTGTTCAAGAGTTCCTTTACCAGGGATAAACCAAACGGTTCTTCAGCTATTTCAGGTAATAGGAAGGATTTCAAATGGTTATTAATTATTTGGAGCATTATTTTACTGTCATGGTTAATTAGGCTGATAGTTCAGTAGTTACTACTATCTGTTGGTGCACCTTTTTTTTTTATAAATTGGAATAAATATTGATTTACATTATTCCTCTGGCCATCTCTCAGAATTTCCAAATTAAGGAGCAGATTTTATGAAATATATCAATGCCCAACTCTTCCTTGCTTTTAAAATTTTGGAAGTTATGTTGTCAGGTACTGGAGCTTTGTGATTTCTTAATGTATGTATCAATATTTATGGCATTTTCTACCTCTGATTTAAGAATAGATTTGTGAGAAACTTTATAAAGACACTAGACAAACAAATGATAATAATCAACTTCAGAAGGATGGATGGGAAGTTGAACCATCTATTCTTAGATCTATATAATATATTGAATCTAATAATGGGTAGTCATATTTTAAAGGTCACTAACAAATATTATTTAATGAAGCAATTTACTGATAAAAAATATTTTTTCAAATAGAATTATGGTGGACCACATTAGATGCTTCATATTTTAGAAATTTGGTTATGGTAAGATTAATAATTATTATTGTTGATTCTATATTATTATTATTATTATTATTATTACTATTAGTTAAATTACATTAAAAATTTATTTTTTAGATTTATAAATCTGCTGTAATTCATTTATTATGTCAAGCTGAAATGGCAAATGATGGTAGGGTGAGTGAATTTTTGATGTATTATTTATTCAAACTTTTTTCTTTTATAAGTTAGCTTATTGTTATAAATCTATTTCAGACAATGGTTCAAAGTCAAAAGCAAATTTTACGTCTTTCACTTGAAATACTGAAGCTATTAAATAAAGTATAGTTTATTTTGATTTATATTTATTTGTTTTAGTTTGTTCTGTTATTCTAAATGCAAATTGATTAATTATAGGTTAACATTGACAATAGAGAATTAATTCCTTATCAGGAATTCTATATTCATGAAGTAACAGATAAAGTAGATGTTCGTTATGACTATGCAGAATGGTTAGGAAGTCCACATAAGGTATGAGATTTTCAGTGTTTGTAATATATTCTACATTACATAAAATTACTTTAATTTAAAATTTTAGCAAGGAAGATTATACTTCTGTGATTATCCTTTTGTGTTTGATGCTGCAGCAAAAACTCTTATCTTACAGACTGATTCAGCCATTCGTATGGAGGTAAATACACAGATATGTTTGATCTTTAATTTTTAAAACATTCTTTTCAAATGAACTTTTTATTTTAGTCAGCAATGAATAGTGCCTTTCAGCAGAATCTTGTTAGTGCTTTCCTTCCAGTAACGCCAACTAATCCATTTTTAGTGCTGTATGTTACCCGTGATAATCTATTGCAGGAGACAATCAATCAATTGTCAAAATATGATCAACAAGATTTGAAAAAACCTCTGAAGGTAAAATGTAATGATTTTAAAACTTGAAACAACCATGCTATTGCATAGACTGATTTTTTTCATATAAAATTAGGTGATATTTCATGGAGAAGATGCTGTAGATGCAGGTGGTGTAAGGAAGGTATAAGACTTTTACACTTTCTTTTGAATTTGGAAATTATATTTCATGATGATAAGAATAAAATATGATTTTCTGAAGGAATTCTTTATGTTGCTGCTTAGAGAAGCATTGGATCCAAAATATGGCATGTTCACAGAACATCCAGAAACTAGATGTATATGGTTTCATGCAAAGGTAAATTTTATAATTAACTAAATATATCTTGAAATTTATTCATAGATGTAATTAATCAAATTTCTGTATTTCAGACATTTGCTGAAGATAATCAGTTATTTTATCTCATTGGAATTTTATGTGGTTTAGCAATCTACAATTTTACCATTATTGATTTACCTTTTCCATTAATCTTATATAAAAAATTACTTCATGAGTAAGTAACATTATATTACAAAAACTGAAATGTATCTTTATCTTAAAAATTTACCCTAAAATCATATTATTGTTATTAGGAAAGTATCATTAGAAGATCTTAAGCAATTATCACCAACAGTTGTAAAGTAAGTTTTATACTACTGATTTTTTTTTGTCTAAAACATAATACAATTTCTTTAATATATGTTTATCATTAATCACTAAACATTATATTAAACTTGCTGATTTGTTGCTTTCATATGTGAATTTATCCTAGTGTATTTGTTTCAGTTAAAATTACGAATTTTGTAATTATTCAAATTCTAATTGATAATTTTTTTCAACTTTAAACTTAAGAATTCTAAAATTAATAAACTTCATGTTAAGCTTGATAAACTTGATTATCCTACAAAATGTTCTTAATATAGTTGATTTTAAGAAACTGAAATTTTCTTAAAATGTTTGGAAATAGAAAAAGCATACTGAATGTGTTTATACCTAATTATAGAATATTTTTCATATTCTATAATTAGGTAAAAATATTTCAGTAAAATATGTACATAATAATAATTTAATGTAGATAAATTCATCAATACTTTGAGAATTGTATTTTGATTATAAGATATTGTTAAACAAAAGTTATTCAGGAAGTTTCATAATTAATCAGTTTAAATAAATTAGGATGTAGACATGCATTTTTTTGTTATGCAAGTGATGTAGTTTTGATCGATCCTATATAGGATTACAAAGAAAACAAGGTATTTAAGACGTATACCAAGAAAAATAAGTATATAAATGGATGGAAACAAACATTCAAAATTTCAACCAAAACAAAATTAGCACAAAAGGATATATTATATTGTACTAATGAATTAATTCAAATTATTCAAAAATTGAATTAACTTGAGTGTTGATGGCTGCTATATCAATTATCAGTAAACATCAAAGACACATTAGAGGAAAAGCAAAAAGTGCAATTAAAAATTTATTTATAATGACAGGAAAGATGAAATTGAATAATTTAAACATTCATTTCACTTGTGGTTGTTGGTGAGGCCAATTTTTTTGTATGCATTAGTTTTATGGGGATTATGCATGAACAAATGCATGCATAGAATGTGTACAATCATACATGATGCATTTGGAAATACTTCTTTGATGGATAATTAGGTGTGAATGTGCTCATTCAAATTGAAATTATAAGTAAAATTCCTTTTAATTATATAATAAGTTTTAAAACACCTTTTTCTCTTTTTTTCTAGCAAATTCTTTAATTAAATCAGATAAACTAACGTTTATGGCTATCTTAATTGGCCTTCTTTGTGTTAAGCATAATTGGAACATCAGTTAGAACATAAATTTGAAACATCAAGATTCACTCCCATTCTTATGACGTCATGGTCTTACAAAAAATTTGAAATAAAATGAATAAATAAATAAATAAATAAATACAAAAATGAACAAAATTACAATTATATGTTAAACTTAACTAACCTAGTGAAAAGCAGAAATAAATATCAAATAAACATCCAATTTAACATACAAGTATATGTTAAATTTAATAAACTTAGTGAATAATTATTGCAGATATATGAAGAAATAAATAACTAGATAATTTATAAAGATATATTTATAATTTGTAAAACTGTAAAGTCACATGATGTTCTTATAAGAAACAAACGATGGATAAATTAACCCACTTCCTTTAACTAGGAGTGATTTCCAAGCTGTAGATAACAAGTCTGCATTCTTGCTATTAATATGGCTCCAGAGCTACAGATTGCCAATTCCTGGACTAGGGGAAATTAAAAGCAATAAAATTTGAATTAAAATACTGTTACAGAAATAAACTTTAATAAAATCTATTCTTTATCTAATACTATACAGTGATTATGATTAGCAGATTAATTTAAGTATAAATCAATTTTCTTTGTTCTATGTGCTTAAACAAATATGATGTTATAACTCTGTTGTCATTATTCTTATGCAAAGTTGTACATTCAAAATTAGTATTAATTACTTTAATACAAAATTTAGAAATTTATTTATTTATATGTAATTAAATCATATTTTTAAAGTTACTAATATAAATTATGAGAAAATGAATTAACAAAATTTAAATAAACAGTTTTTCTATTATAGAAGTTTACAAGAATTACTTGATTATGAAGATGATGATGTAGAAGATGTATTTGTTCTAAATTTTGAAGTAAACAATAAATTTAAATAATAGAAGTCTCAAAAATAATTTATTATTATTTTAATGTAGTTCTTATAAGATTTGATGTGTATTCAATTATAGGTGTCATTAGAAGTATATGGTGCTAGAGTCTCTTTTGAATTGAAACCCAATGGAGCTAATATTCCAGTCACTAAAGAGAACAGGTACCAAAGAAAGAAAAAGAAAAAAAGAATTGGTCATTGAACTTTTAAAATTTATTAAAATCTTTAATAATTTGTTTATATTTTCTTTATTCTTTATTTTCTGTTTATAAATCTTTAATAATTAATTTTCTTAGGATGGAATATGTAGATTGCTATGTGGATTTTATCTTGAATAAATCTGTAGAGGACGCTTTTAAATCTTTTTCCGATGGATTTTATAAAGTCTGTGGCAGCAAAGTTTTAGTGAGTATATATTTTAATTTATTGATTTTATTTAAAATCTTTTTTTCATTCATTCACACTATATTCTGAAGGAATTTATTTAAAAAAAACAAGTGTTATATTGAAAATGTTTTTGTTGAAAGAAATGTTTATGAAAATTGGTTTGGACAATGACTAATAGTGTCAATATAATATAGTCTAAATATATAAAATATTTAGCTTAAAAGCATCAAAAAATAAAATAAAATAAACAGTGGCACCAGGAATTGATAAATTGGGGGCAACTGAGCAGGGAGGATGAAGTCTCTAGTTTAAGTTATAATTTTATTGGATATACATAAAGATGCTGAATTAGACAAATTTAAATTCTTTTCAGTTTTTTTGCTATATACTTTTATTGTTTTTGGCTACAATAATTTATTTTGATTAAACCAAGTTTATGTGATATATAAAAATATAAACAAAATTTGCTTTAAAATTATTTATTGGTGATTTAAAAAAACTTAAAAATAGCCATTTTTGCATTCTAAAATAATATATATTATAAATAGCTAAAAGAATTTTTTTTCTTATGAATTATTGTAAATCAGCACATGAAATGACACTTGTCATATTGACTGTCATAATATAAATCAGTGGTGCTGAACTTTTGATTTGAGAGCCAAATTGCAAATATTATATATATTAATATATATATATACCTAAAAGTATATATTTGACACAGTTTGAGCACAACAGGTATAAATGATGATTGAGAAATGTTTTTTAAATATTTATGATGCCAGTTTCCCCAGGGTGCTGATCCAAGGTGCTTAACACAGCATCTGATCCTAATAATAATCTTGTCAAACCATCAGGAAATTCAAGCTATTCTTTATATTCCTTAAATAGAAAATAGTATCATAAGTTGAATATTATTATAGTACTGTTTGTAGTATAATAATTGAATTTTCCATGCATATCATTTAATGTGTAAATTATTGTTCTGTAACATTAGTTGAATCTTTTCTTCTGTGTGATGTATGCATATTTTTTCAAATGACCAGTTTTATTTGCATACCTTGGCAAATAAGATCTTTATATTAATATAGCAAAAGCTGTAAAAATTTCTAGAGAAGTAAACTCTTCTGTATTTTGATTTTAATTTAAACATATAAGATTTGAATTGTGGCAGAAAATATACTTAAATCAGTTTCTTTATGTTATGCTCTGATTAAATAAATTTTTAATATTTTCAAGATGGCAATTAAGATGAATATTGACTATATTCAGAAAAATCAAAATTGTATTCATTACTATATCTTTTATACAGCAGTATGTATATACTTACATTTAAACAATAGATTTTTGTGTGTGTAAATTAATACAAAAAATTGAATTCAGTAAATGATGCATTTATATGTGTGTATTGAAATTCCATTACAGAAATGTATATTTGACATTTCTCATATATTTTCATGTTTTTTTCCAATTTAATAAAATAAAATGGTAACTTAAAAACAACTATTTTCTATGATCATTATTTGAAACACTTTATTTAATTTAATATTGATTACTGTTTTTATGGTTTAAACCAGACTTGATTAATGTAGCCACTTCATTTTAAATGAAGAAATAGTAATATTTCTTAAATTTATTTTCAGTTTAAATAATTGACCTTTTTAACAAAACCAAATGGAGGAACATTTTCCTAAAATTAATCATTCTACTATATGTCCTAAACAAATTTTAGTTTTTAAATATACTTCAAAATTTTTGTTAGTATATTACAAACAGTAATATCTTAATTATTGCAAGTGAATTAGTTCTAAATTAATACCTACATTTATTTTTCTCAATTTATAAAATATAAATTTGAAATGTTTTAAATATGTGACATTATACAAAGCAAAAAAAAAAATGTTTTTAGGAAGTATTTCATGCCCAAGAGTTAATGGCACTTGTTATAGGCACAGAAGATTACAATTGGAAAGAGTTAGAAGAGGTAAGTATAAATTTTAAGTAATTAATTATCTAATCTGATTATTTATAAGAGAGATTTTTTAATTCAGAATGCTGAATATAAAAATGAATATGATCAAAATCATCCTGCAATCAAAAAGTTCTGGAAAGTGTTCCATTCTCTATCTCTAGAACAGAAAAAGAAATTTTTGTGTAAGTCATATTGAATTTTCCCTTATTGTCATTACTTTTTTTTATTAGAATTTGAAAGAAAATTTAAATAATTTTATTTCCAGTGTTCTTGACGGGTTCGGATAGAATACCCATATTGGGAATGAAAGCTGTAAAAGTGAGTCTTTTTTATTTTATTGAAAATGGTAAAAAATTTTAGCATGATCTTTAAATCTCTTGCTAATAATTTTCAGATAATTTTTCAACCTATGCACGTTACCGATGATCATTTGCCGGTAGCCCACACTTGTTTCAATATTTTGGACCTACCTCATTACACGACAGAAGAGGCGCTTCGTATCAAATTGTTGCAAGCTATAGAACACACACAGGGCTTTGGATTAGCGTGAAATAGGTGAAATAGATTCTCGTTCGTTTAAATTATAGAACTGTGCCAAGCTCGGTTCCGAAAATATTTCACGATTGCTTTGAAAATACCAATCTCGTCAGATGTATTAAAGAAAAACGAAACATCTAAATAATTTGGGTATTGTTTATTTTCAGACGATTAAAATATTTTCTTAAAACTTGATAATTGCTATTTTTCTCATCACCTTTGTTAAGTAACGAAAATGTTTAAAAATTTTGAATCGATTTTTACTTTGGACTGTGTTTTTATGCTACAGTTAACCACTTTTTTGTATAATTTGGAACATTTGGCGAGAGCAAAATGTTTTTCACATTATTGAAATATTTTTGTGAAATATTAACGTTTATAGAGAAAAAATAAAAGTTTATTCATGTTTCTTCTACTTTTTCGATTTTACTTTCCATCACTTGCTTAAGGATTATTGATGTAAGTTATCAAATACAGTGAGTCAAAATCCTCCCAAAGTTCGTAGTACTATAAAAAAAATAGCAAAATTATTCGATATACAAAAGGATATAAATCAACTGTAAGATTATTACAATATTCACATAGAAAAAATTAAAATAATTTCATATTTTTAAAATAGCTATGATGTATAAATTCTGCTTGTTGTATTGGGAGGATTTTGGCGCATAAATTGTTATAACATCAACGTTAAACAATGTAATTTCGTGCATATTAACGAGATATTAGTGTATAAATTATGCAAATGAGCTGCTGATGAGTCGTCATAAAAAAGCTTTCCAGTCAAAAGAAACTCTGTATTGGACCGCCGAAGAAAAGCTTTTCTGTTGAGAAAACAGCATTAGATATTGATGTTGGGCGTTTTGAGTGAATCCAGAATACAAAATAGTGCTACCATATCACGAAAATTTAAGAGCTGATAAGAAGAAAACGTTGAGCACCGAAACGGAAACGTTTGATAACGAGTGGACGTTGCGATGCATCATCACAAGTAAAGAGGGAATTGAAACGTTGCTTAGGAATAGAAGTGGGTACTTCAACTATCTGCAGATGCCTAAAACGTAATAATTTGAAAGCCCAAGAAGTTTAAACTTACAAAATACATAAACAGACGTCTTAATTTTTCCAAACGCTATACAGATCATTGGAAGAGAATTGTATGGTCAGACGAATCTAAAATTAATAGAATTGGTTCAGATGTGCGGAAATGAGTATGGACTACATCGACTAAGTCTATAACTGAGCTGAGCGACATTGAAATTTAGTGGTGGCAGTCTTATGGTCTGAGACTGCATTATCTATTTTGGGTCTGGAATGCTATGTTCTACACGTAATAGAATGCATAGCGTTGTTTACACTGAGATACTTGACAATCATTTCTTACAATCTGTTATTACCGCATTGATATACACTCCTTCATTTGTCAGCAAAATGATGATCCAAAACATACATCCAGGAGGGCAATGTCATGGCTTCGGGATCAAAATATTAGCCTGCTTGAGTGATCGCCTGATCGCAACCCGATTGAATCTATCTAGTGCCTTAAACGTTGCTTGTTTGACTATACAACTTTGCCTGAAAGCATCCACCAATTATGGGAACGTATACCGATGAGTGAAACAAAACTTTGTACGATTGTAGGAATAATAATGATTCTATGCCCGACGCATTAGGAAGGTTTTAAAGACAAAAGAGGCTATATTGATTATTGAAATATACTTTTTTCACAAGTATGATATAGATTTTTGTCTGAATCAAAATCCTCCCAATGTATGTTCTTTGTATGTTTATTAATAGAATAATTACGTTGTTCAGATAATTATAATTATATACGTAAACATTAAGTATGCAAATAAATATAGTTTTTCGTATTAAATGTGCTTTGCAACATTTTCTAGTTCTTTAAATAGTCTATTGCGTTCTGTGGGAGGATTTTGACGCTTACTGTATTTGATTCTATATTCAATTACCAATAATCTGATATTCGACAATTATTATTTATTACGTGTCCAATTGCATATTTAATTATAAACTTTGAATGAATTACTTTAAAATAACAGGTCAATAAACTGATTTATTAATTTTCTATTTACACCCCACATTTTATAATCATGACTTACACAAAATAATGTGCCGTGATATCAATAAAATAACTATTGTGAAAAATCAGAATTTCATCCTGATTCTCATTATTTTTATATACAGTTGAATCAGATCAGTGTTTCGTTCCTTATTCAATCTAGTACATCTCCTGTAAATGCCTCATTATGAATACAGTTGAAGGCCGTTTCTAGTATAAAGAATATTTAATCTATTTTATATAGTATAAAGTATGTATGAAAAATCTTGGTGTTGTATTCGACATTACGATCGTAGTAAGAAAAATCTAACGGAGACATTTTTGAAACATCATTTTAAGGATTTCACTTCGTCTTGTCTTGTCAATAATTAGCACTTGTATTTGTTCAAGCTGCAGTACTGTGAAAGTTTTTGTTATAGACTGTTTTACTACCTGAAGAACACTAGATGAGTTTGAGTTTGGTTAAACTTGGCAGAAGTGTTAAATTACATTTCGATTATGATTATGATTCTCAAAATATTTTTATTGTGAAGAGTGAAATAATTGATGATTGTAACTTTGTATGGCTAGTAATTTTCTCATTTATTTCGCGGAATTGTGCCAATTATTTTTCCTCCATAAATTTCTAAGCAATATCAGTTGCATCCTCTGAAATCTGACTAGTAGGCCTGGTTTTAATTACTTCAGTAATACCGAAGTTTTGATATACATGGGTAACGTAATGCAATCAAGTCTCATCACACGTAAATACATTTACAAGTTTCCAGCGATACCTGTTTTTACGTGGGCTTCCACTGGCGGCTTTATTGCGCCGCTAAGGATAATTCCGAATGCCGAATATTTGCTGCTGACGTGAAGACTTAGTAGTTTTTGATAGCCAATAAAATGATAGTATATATATGACTTCAGAATAATACAATTGATCCCATGCTCGAAAGTGTGCCAGTGCATTCAATTGGCTCCTTTGCATAGCCACAAATGCCACTGCTTTCAATGAAATAAACCTCTATTGCTGCTGAATGTTTCCCACTATTGCTCGCCGCTGCTGCTATAACCGGTGCTTTAGTCTCGTATGCATTTGAATGTTGTATGATTGATAGTAAGCCCTTTTTGCCATTGGATACCGAAATACTGTATCGGTATTATCGAATGTAGGCTTCTTCCAGTCTCCATAAATGCATAATTCCCGATGGTCTCGAGTTTTTTTGTTAATAGTCAGTCGTTTTGAAACAACACCCGCTTCTTGTGTTTCTTAGGACACAAGATGTATAAATATGCAAAGGGAAGTTCCGAATAAAGACGTAAACATTGTACAGTGGTTCATAACTTACTAATTTGGACAACGCTAGATTACACAACTACCAGTGTTGTGCAGCCACTAATCATTAAAATTATAATAGAGATGTAGCTGAAGTTTTGCTAGATCCTTCATATTCATCGGACTCGGCCCTATATTCTTTCTTGTTTTGCGAATGAAGAAAGTTTTGAAAGACAAGTGCTTTGCGACTGATGAGGCATGAAGAGTCACTGAAATTCTTTCACGTTTATCTATTAAATGATTGTGGAAAACATACGATGCATAAGTATGGCGATGAGCAGAGGTGTGTACTGTACAGGTTCTATGGTGAATATTTGAGCGTGACGAATACTCAGAAAATGAAATGACAATATGAAAAATATTATTCTTTGGTGAATTAAATGATTAGCCTATATAACGAATTAAGTTTTTACAATTTTACTAAAACTTTTTCTCATATAATTTATTTTCTTATATATAAGTAATATTAAAATTAAGTGAAATGATAATAAATATACTATAATAACTATCATTAAAACAGATCAATTGGACTGGGATGTCATCTCTCTTAATATATTTCTAGTTTTGACTTTTGTATTTTAGTTTATGACAGTTTCACAGAAATGCGAAACCAATTAGCAGTAATTTTTATTTGGTTTATGCACGATGTTCTCAAGTGTTGAATGCCATAGAAGCCGCATTTACATCAACAATATTTGTAGAAAGATTTTATATCAGAAGCAGAAAATGGCGATGACGACAATGATGATTGAAGAGAAGATTAGTCATTTACGTAATAGCAAATGTGTAACGAAACTTTTGCTTTTAAAATGAGACTCAATATTTTTGAGTTTATCGTTATAATGAGTTTAATCGTTATAAATCGAATGGGAGTTATAAAGAATCTGCCTTACCTAGCTAAGTATTAAAATTGTTTTTCAAAATGTTTTTATTTTATTTGATAATACATCCGATTTCGTCCATAGAGAGAACAATCCTCTCTCGAGTTTTGTCAAATTGCAAACTGTACAGTATCNATTTATAATGTCGATTATTTACGAAAAGACATTTACTTACCGTCAAATGTCCCACTCCAACCTCTTGGAGCACGTGGCCTATAAGGATCAACTTTGGAAGAAGACTGAGGTTTCGTTACCTGCTTCTGAATTTTGGGTTCAGATGTTGGTAATTTGACTGGAAATAATGGTTTTGAGGTATCAATTTTAGTCTTTTCTTCTGCAGCTTTTATTACAGTCTCTGCAACTCTATCGGGATGTACATCCACGAAAGCAGCATCACAGCTTCCAATAGGTGATTCCATAGCTGCTGCCCACGGGCTTTTGATCATTTTCAGTCTTTGATTCTGCACACTTTCTTGTTTCTGATATCGGTAATCGTAATCCGATTTTAAATGAGATTTGACCTTTTCCTCGTCTACTACCCATTCTTCTGATTTTTTCTTTCGTTTAGCAAAGAGCATGGCTCCTTTTCCAGTGGGAGAATTTAAATCTTTAACTATTCCCAAACAAATATCCGGACTGACCACATTGTGTTCGTTGATATTCTGGCCAGAAGAACGTAGTTTGACCATATCCTGAAGTTGGCGAGGATCCAGGATAAGTTTTAATTTTGGAGGGCCTTTGCTTACTTTAACAAATGGATATTTGTTTGGATCTGGGGTAGAAACGTCGTTGGCATCAAAATATGAATCGCTATCCGAACTAATCGGATCCGGCCCTAAAATTATAATTTGAAAAAAATTCTTTTTATTTTACAGTAAAATATTTAATAGAATTAAAATATATGAATATATACATTCGTTAATTAGTAAATTTGAATTTTATNTATATTGAAAATGTTTTTGTTGAAAGAAATGTTTATGAAAATTGGTTTGGACAATGACTAATAGTGTCAATATAATATAGTCTAAATATATAAAATATTTAGCTTAAAAGCATCAAAAAATAAAATAAAATAAACAGTGGCACCAGGAATTGATAAATTGGGGGCAACTGAGCAGGGAGGATGAAGTCTCTAGTTTAAGTTATAATTTTATTGGATATACATAAAGATGCTGAATTAGACAAATTTAAATTCTTTTCAGTTTTTTTGCTATATACTTTTATTGTTTTTGGCTACAATAATTTATTTTGATTAAACCAAGTTTATGTGATATATAAAAATATAAACAAAATTTGCTTTAAAATTATTTATTGGTGATTTAAAAAAACTTAAAAATAGCCATTTTTGCATTCTAAAATAATATATATTATAAATAGCTAAAAGAATTTTTTTTCTTATGAATTATTGTAAATCAGCACATGAAATGACACTTGTCATATTGACTGTCATAATATAAATCAGTGGTGCTGAACTTTTGATTTGAGAGCCAAATTGCAAATATTATATATATTAATATATATATATACCTAAAAGTATATATTTGACACAGTTTGAGCACAACAGGTATAAATGATGATTGAGAAATGTTTTTTAAATATTTATGATGCCAGTTTCCCCAGGGTGCTGATCCAAGGTGCTTAACACAGCATCTGATCCTAATAATAATCTTGTCAAACCATCAGGAAATTCAAGCTATTCTTTATATTCCTTAAATAGAAAATAGTATCATAAGTTGAATATTATTATAGTACTGTTTGTAGTATAATAATTGAATTTTCCATGCATATCATTTAATGTGTAAATTATTGTTCTGTAACATTAGTTGAATCTTTTCTTCTGTGTGATGTATGCATATTTTTTCAAATGACCAGTTTTATTTGCATACCTTGGCAAATAAGATCTTTATATTAATATAGCAAAAGCTGTAAAAATTTCTAGAGAAGTAAACTCTTCTGTATTTTGATTTTAATTTAAACATATAAGATTTGAATTGTGGCAGAAAATATACTTAAATCAGTTTCTTTATGTTATGCTCTGATTAAATAAATTTTTAATATTTTCAAGATGGCAATTAAGATGAATATTGACTATATTCAGAAAAATCAAAATTGTATTCATTACTATATCTTTTATACAGCAGTATGTATATACTTACATTTAAACAATAGATTTTTGTGTGTGTAAATTAATACAAAAAATTGAATTCAGTAAATGATGCATTTATATGTGTGTATTGAAATTCCATTACAGAAATGTATATTTGACATTTCTCATATATTTTCATGTTTTTTTCCAATTTAATAAAATAAAATGGTAACTTAAAAACAACTATTTTCTATGATCATTATTTGAAACACTTTATTTAATTTAATATTGATTACTGTTTTTATGGTTTAAACCAGACTTGATTAATGTAGCCACTTCATTTAAAATGAAGAAATAGTAATATTTCTTAAATTTATTTTCAGTTTAAATAATTGACCTTTTTAACAAAACCAAATGGAGGAACATTTTCCTAAAATTAATCATTCTACTATATGTCCTAAACAAATTTTAGTTTTTAAATATACTTCAAAATTTTTGTTAGTATATTACAAACAGTAATATCTTAATTATTGCAAGTGAATTAGTTCTAAATTAATACCTACATTTATTTTTCTCAATTTATAAAATATAAATTTGAAATGTTTTAAATATGTGACATTATACAAAGCAAAAAAAAATGTTTGTAGGAAGTATTTCATGCCCAAGAGTTAATGGCACTTGTTATAGGCACAGAAGATTACAATTGGAAAGAGTTAGAAGAGGTAAGTATAAATTTTAAGTAATTAATTATCTAATCTGATTATTTATAAGAGAGATTTTTTAATTCAGAATGCTGAATATAAAAATGAATATGATCAAAATCATCCTGCAATCAAAAAGTTCTGGAAAGTGTTCCATTCTCTATCTCTAGAACAGAAAAAGAAATTTTTGTGTAAGTCATATTGAATTTTCCCTTATTGTCATTACTTTTTTTTATTAGAATTTGAAAGAAAATTTAAATAATTTTATTTCCAGTGTTCTTGACGGGTTCGGATAGAATACCCATATTGGGAATGAAAGCTGTAAAAGTGAGTCTTTTTTATTTTATTGAAAATGGTAAAAAATTTTAGCATGATCTTTAAATCTCTTGCTAATAATTTTCAGATAATTTTTCAACCTATGCACGTTACCGATGATCATTTGCCGGTAGCCCACACTTGTTTCAATATTTTGGACCTACCTCATTACACGACAGAAGAGGCGCTTCGTATCAAATTGTTGCAAGCTATAGAACACACACAGGGCTTTGGATTAGCGTGAAATAGGTGAAATAGATTCTCGTTCGTTTAAATTATAGAACTGTGCCAAGCTCGGTTCCGAAAATATTTCACGATTGCTTTGAAAATACCAATCTCGTCAGATGTATTAAAGAAAAACGAAACATCTAAATAATTTGGGTATTGTTTATTTTCAGACGATTAAAATATTTTCTTAAAACTTGATAATTGCTATTTTTCTCATCACCTTTGTTAAGTAACGAAAATGTTTAAAAATTTTGAATCGATTTTTACTTTGGACTGTGTTTTTATGCTACAGTTAACCACTTTTTTGTATAATTTGGAACATTTGGCGAGAGCAAAATGTTTTTCACATTATTGAAATATTTTTGTGAAATATTAACGTTTATAGAGAAAAAATAAAAGTTTATTCATGTTTCTTCTACTTTTTCGATTTTACTTTCCATCACTTGCTTAAGGATTATTGATGTAAGTTATCAAATACAGTGAGTCAAAATCCTCCCAAAGTTCGTAGTACTATAAAAAAAATAGCAAAATTATTCGATATACAAAAGGATATAAATCAACTGTAAGATTATTACAATATTCACATAGAAAAAATTAAAATAATTTCATATTTTTAAAATAGCTATGATGTATAAATTCTGCTTGTTGTATTGGGAGGATTTTGGCGCATAAATTGTTATAACATCAACGTTAAACAATGTAATTTCGTGCATATTAACGAGATATTAGTGTATAAATTATGCAAATGAGCTGCTGATGAGTCGTCATAAAAAAGCTTTCCAGTCAAAAGAAACTCTGTATTGGACCGCCGAAGAAAAGCTTTTCTGTTGAGAAAACAGCATTAGATATTGATGTTGGGCGTTTTGAGTGAATCCAGAATACAAAATAGTGCTACCATATCACGAAAATTTAAGAGCTGATAAGAAGAAAACGTTGAGCACCGAAACGGAAACGTTTGATAACGAGTGGACGTTGCGATGCATCATCACAAGTAAAGAGGGAATTGAAACGTTGCTTAGGAATAGAAGTGGGTACTTCAACTATCTGCAGATGCCTAAAACGTAATAATTTGAAAGCCCAAGAAGTTTAAACTTACAAAATACATAAACAGACGTCTTAATTTTTCCAAACGCTATACAGATCATTGGAAGAGAATTGTATGGTCAGACGAATCTAAAATTAATAGAATTGGTTCAGATGTGCGGAAATGAGTATGGACTACATCGACTAAGTCTATAACTGAGCTGAGCGACATTGAAATTTAGTGGTGTCAGTCTTATGGTCTGAGACTGCATTATCTATTTTGGGTCTGGAATGCTATGTTCTACACCTAATAGAATGCATAGCGTTGTTTACACTGAGATACTTGACAATCATTTCTTACAATCTGTTATTACCGCATTGATATACACTCCTTCATTTGTCAGCAAAATGATGATCCAAAACATACATCCAGGAGGGCAATGTCATGGCTTCGGGATCAAAATATTAGCCTGCTTGAGTGATCGCCTGATCGCAACCCGATTGAATCTATCTAGTGCCTTAAACGTTGCTTGTTTGACTGTACAACTTTGCCTGAAAGCATCCACCAATTATGGGAACGTATACCGATGAGTGAAACAAAACTTTGTACGATTGTAGGAATAATAATGATTCTATGCCCGACGCATTAGGAAGGTTTTAAAGACAAAAGAGGCTATATTGATTATTGAAATATACTTTTTTCACAAGTATGATATAGATTTTTGTCTGAATCAAAATCCTCCCAATGTATGTTCTTTGTATGTTTATTAATAGAATAATTACGTTGTTCAGATAATTATAATTATATACGTAAACATTAAGTATGCAAATAAATATAGTTTTTCGTATTAAATGTGCTTTGCAACATTTTCTAGTTCTTTAAATAGTCTATTGCGTTCTGTGGGAGGATTTTGACGCTTACTGTATTTGATGCTATATTCAATTACCAATAATCTGATATTCGACAATTATTATTTATTACGTGTCCAATTGCATATTTAATTATAAACTTTGAATGAATTACTTTAAAATAACAGGTCAATAAACTGATTTATTAATTTTCTATTTACACCCCACATTTTATAATCATGACTTACACAAAATAATGTGCCGTGATATCAATAAAATAACTATTGTGAAAAATCAGAATTTCATCCTGATTCTCATTATTTTTATATACAGTTGAATCAGATCAGTGTTTCGTTCCTTATTCAATCTAGTACATCTCCTGTAAATGCCTCATTATGAATACAGTTGAAGGCCGTTTCTAGTATAAAGAATATTTAATCTATTTTATATAGTATAAAGTATGTATGAAAAATCTTGGTGTTGTATTCGACATTACGATCGTAGTAAGAAAAATCTAACGGAGACATTTTTGAAACATCATTTTAAGGATTTCACTTCGTCTTGTCTTGTCAATAATTAGCACTTGTATTTGTTCAAGCTGCAGTACTGTGAAAGTTTTTGTTATAGACTGTTTTACTACCTGAAGAACACTAGATGAGTTTGAGTTTGGTTAAACTTGGCAGAAGTGTTAAATTACATTTCGATTATGATTATGATTCTCAAAATATTTTTATTGTGAAGAGTGAAATAATTGATGATTGTAACTTTGTATGGCTAGTAATTTTCTCATTTATTTCGCGGAATTGTGCCAATTATTTTTCCTCCATAAATTTCTAAGCAATATCAGTTGCATCCTCTGAAATCTGACTAGTAGGCCTGGTTTTAATTACTTCAGTAATACCGAAGTTTTGATATACATGGGTAACGTAATGCAATCAAGTCTCATCACACGTAAATACATTTACAAGTTTCCAGCGATACCTGTTTTTACGTGGGCTTCCACTGGCGGCTTTATTGCGCCGCTAAGGATAATTCCGAATGCCGAATATTTGCTGCTGACGTGAAGACTTAGTAGTTTTTGATAGCCAATAAAATGATAGTATATATATGACTTCAGAATAATACAATTGATCCCATGCTCGAAAGTGTGCCAGTGCATTCAATTGGCTCCTTTGCATAGCCACAAATGCCACTGCTTTCAATGAAATAAACCTCTATTGCTGCTGAATGTTTCCCACTATTGCTCGCCGCTGCTGCTATAACCGGTGCTTTAGTCTCGTATGCATTTGAATGTTGTATGATTGATAGTAAGCCCTTTTTGCCATTGGATACCGAAATACTGTATCGGTATTATCGAATGTAGGCTTCTTCCAGTCTCCATAAATGCATAATTCCCGATGGTCTCGAGTTTTTTTGTTAATAGTCAGTCGTTTTGAAACAACACCCGCTTCTTGTGTTTCTTAGGACACAAGATGTATAAATATGCAAAGGGAAGTTCCGAATAAAGACGTAAACATTGTACAGTGGTTCATAACTTACTAATTTGGACAACGCTAGATTACACAACTACCAGTGTTGTGCAGCCACTAATCATTAAAATTATAATAGAGATGTAGCTGAAGTTTTGCTAGATCCTTCATATTCATCGGACTCGGCCCTATATTCTTTCTTGTTTTGCGAATGAAGAAAGTTTTGAAAGACAAGTGCTTTGCGACTGATGAGGCATGAAGAGTCACTGAAATTCTTTCACGTTTATCTAGTAAATGATTGTGGAAAACATACGATGCATAAGTATGGCGATGAGCAGAGGTGTGTACTGTACAGGTTCTATGGTGAATATTTGAGCGTGACGAATACTCAGAAAATGAAATGACAATATGAAAAATATTATTCTTTGGTGAATTAAATGATTAGCCTATATAACGAATTAAGTTTTTACAATTTTACTAAAACTTTTTCTCATATAATTTATTTTCTTATATATAAGTAATATTAAAATTAAGTGAAATGATAATAAATATACTATAATAACTATCATTAAAACAGATCAATTGGACTGGGATGTCATCTCTCTTAATATATTTCTAGTTTTGACTTTTGTATTTTAGTTTATGACAGTTTCACAGAAATGCGAAACCAATTAGCAGTAATTTTTATTTGGTTTATGCACGATGTTCTCAAGTGTTGAATGCCATAGAAGCCGCATTTACATCAACAATATTTGTAGAAAGATTTTATATCAGAAGCAGAAAATGGCGATGACGACAATGATGATTGAAGAGAAGATTAGTCATTTACGTAATAGCAAATGTGTAACGAAACTTTTGCTTTTAAAATGAGACTCAATATTTTTGAGTTTATCGTTATAATGAGTTTAATCGTTATAAATCGAATGGGAGTTATAAAGAATCTGCCTTACCTAGCTAAGTATTAAAATTGTTTTTCAAAATGTTTTTATTTTATTTGATAATACATCCGATTTCGTCCATAGAGAGAACAATCCTCTCTCGAGTTTTGTCAAATTGCAAACTGTACAGTATCCAATCGCAGACAAAACCATTTTGGGAAGATAATTGTTCTGTACATCACCAATCTAAATGACTAGAAAATTCTTTCTTAAAAAAGGGATATCACATTAATTAAATTATTCAAAGCTTTGTGATTTAAGCTATTCGTTGAAATGGGGTTGTTTCGTAAATTTCAAAATAAACGGTCGACACGTATAAAAGTTGCAACAAAATATAATTTATGGAAAAAGAGAAGAAAATTCCATTGAGGATAAAAATATATGGAAAGAGAAAAATCACAGATTTTACGGGTTTTTATCGGCCACGCTTTCTATTGTGTACTAAATTTTTGCAATGTTTTAATGCTAGCTCATAAATAAAAATTCACTTTTTTTATGTACAAGCGCTATTGATATTATGACGTATTTCGGTGTGATTACAAGCGAACGAGAATGGAAAAATCGTACTTCTCCCGATATACATCGTTCAATAGTAAAAAGTATAAATTCGAATGGATTACTTATATATTCTCGGCTACCTTCCATATTGCATTTGCTGCGTTACGGTTACGATGTACGGAGAAATATTATTCCAGCAAAAGCAAACAGGAATGTAGCAGAAGTTTTAATTTTATTATCACTTGATTAATAAGGAAGGAGGTTTGACCGTTTTGAAGTTAAACGTGGATTCGGAGCTTCCAGTCCAAGCCTTCGCCGTGTTGTTGAAATTGTTAAATTTGTACTTTGGTGCTTGTTTCTCTTGGCTTAGCTCTGTAGAAGGAATTATAGGCAGAGGTGCCGGTGGTAATTCTGTTCTTGTGAAGAGTGATGACGCTGTAACAAGATAAAAGTATATGTATTTTATTAAAGTAGTAGTAAACTTCTCCTATATACATATATTAAGTAAATGCTTTATTAAAACAGATCCAGTCAATTTAATTTTTGAATTTTTAAAAATTAAACTACTGTATTTATATAGATGCCTTAAAAATTACTTTCTTTAAAAAAGCAACGCAGTAGAATTCTCTTGTTTATTTAATGTAAAATCAATTTTCCCTTCCCATTTTTAGTATCAAAGAAAACAACAATTTTATTAAATCAATGTAATGAAAAGGTATTAAAATTTTGAGTAAAAAATTGCAAAAAGCAAAAACAATAAAAAATGACAGACTAAAACGAAAATTAAGCTACCAGTATCTAATATGAAATAACTTTCTTTTTAATTTATTACTATTTTACGAAGTATTTTAAAATAAACATCTATTTTCAAATTAATTAAAAATACATTATTGCATATAAATCACAAATCAAAGTAAATACGCTAAACTTTTGCTAATCCGGCCATTCCTTGCGCAAAGGGGGCACCCCTTTAGCGCAATGATTAGCGCGTGTCGGATAATGAGCGTTTATAGATCAAAAAAGTAATTAGTGACACGACCTGTCGCTCTTCGGTATTCATTCGCCCTGACATGAAATAATGTACACCGAAATGAAGCTCTAGTAAACAGAAAAATGGGATTTGTGACATAACTAAGATTTTCGCGGAAACGGAAACGCATAGGCAATCAAACGACGGTATATCAGATAATTCAGACACAGGATTAGAAAGAGTGTACTGTATTGGAAAGGATCTGATCTAGAACTTCGCAAGTTTGGTTTTCTACCGGAAAACCAACTTATTTCCATTCCATTACCCGAATATCTGACTATCTCTTTCGACCTTTAGTCACCAAAATTTAATAGCATTAATCCACTTAATATACAAACCTCCCTACAAAATTTCGTACATTTTCGACAAAAAGCACAGCAGTTATTAGCTTCAAAGAGGGTGAACAAAATCGTGCCCCCCCATACAAACATCCATACATACAGAAACTCCCCCCGAATGTTTTTGCATTTCTCAACGTTTCAAGGTCCCCGAGTCCAAAAATGTAAAAATCTGGGGAATCATCTTTTGCATCTTTACCCTCTGTTATATATAATAGCTAGGATGTAAAATGGTTTTGACAGAATATTCAGATATGGGAGGTCTAATATTTGTAAGTGATTTTCTATTTAATTTGTTAGTTCAGTGTAAGCTTTTGTTTTCGTTTGACAAAGAAATATATCAAGGGAGGTAAACAGCTAAGTCTTGTATTACTACAAAGTTGGAAAAGGCAGAATATTTTTTACAAAGCTACTGCAATATAGAAACGATTATTAATTTGATAAATTTATTATTATAAAGGAATGGCCGAGCGGTTATGGTTTCAGCTTACCACTCTGGGGACCCAGAAAATAGTCCGAATAAATCGAAAATCCCAGGAAGTTTAGGGAGTTGTCTTCGCGGATATATCAGGCCTCATTCTTCACCACTTTCCGTCCCATTATAGGCCTGGCCAAACCCACGATGGCTTTATAAAACATCCTCTTATAGTAGTTTCCACAGAATGGAAAGAGTAATAACAGGCTGGCAAGAGCTCTTGCTCGTCTTTTCCGGTTTCGAACAGGAACATAAAGAGGACCAGAAAGCCCACTAATTTTCAATTATAATACGGTGTATAATTTAAATATTAATAAATAAAAAGCTTAAAAAGAGTAATTTTATTGAATTATGTAGTCTTGAGATATAATGCAAAATAGATGCCTATACACACCCATACATACAGAGTGCTTTTTCACATTTTTGCTAAGGGCTTTTTGGCATTTCGGTAAGGCTTTTTGACTGTCAAAACGTGGAGAAACGTAAAAATACCGGCGGGTTAAAATTTGATCGATTACCTTACTTTCCTTATGTTAATTAATATTCTATAACAACCAGAAAAGTAAATATTAATTTAATTACACAGTATATTAAATTGTCTTTATGACATTTAAAAATTATCTAAAATATCGACTTTTGTTAAATAAAATTGAAATTCTAACAAGCAACGAGTACAGACGAGTAAATTAAACTAGATAAAAAGTAGTTTGAACAATAAAATAATAGTTTTACTCTATCACACTTTTACAATCAGCTATGTCAAAATTATTTCTTTATAAAGTAACGACCATTCTCAGCTTGCAATTAATACAAATAGTATTAAACAATACTTTTATTTATATGAATTACCATATTTTACGGTATATAAGATGCATCCCATTTCAGTACAAAATTTTTAAAGAAAATATAGTATTTAATGGATTGGACTGATGGAATAAGACAACGCAACACTTGTGTGATATGCCAAGAGTGGTGCCTTGCGAGAGGACTTTCTATTGAAAACTGGCCCTATTTAGTTGTTAAATACAATAAAACCGGAGTTTGAGCCAGGGGTCGGGCTCAAACTTATTTACCATTAAAATATTCTACGTGAATCCATATAAAGGCTGCTTAGCTGTAGCAAAAGAAAAGATAATAATAATGTTTAATTAAACAATAACATTTTTATTCAAGAATTGAGCTAGATTGAGGTTATCTAAAGGCTGTTTAGGGAATTCATTCGTTGGAATTGAACTGTGATAGAGTAAAAAATAAACATTAAGTTACGTAAGGCTCGTTAAAGCCTTCCAAAACTTAAATCAAGTGAAATATTTTTTTAAACCAGAAACAATTGGATTGCTGGAATAAGGCAATTTGCCAAGATGGTATTCTTCCTAGGAAGACATTCTGTGGGAAACTGACCCGTATTTAGGTTTTAGATACGCGAAGAAAGCCCGGAAAATCTCTTGACCTGTCCGTTGGTCAGGCACGAACCCAGAAGAAATTACTAGTGTTCATAATCAGAAACGATAACTCCAAATAATATATCAAAGAACTGATCACGAGATGCTATCATAGTGTTTTCTAACACTCTTACTAGAATATTTTTATCTTTTCTAAAAAGAAAATTCAATAACATAAATTTAGAAGATATATTTTGAAATACTGATTCAATACTGAGAGGCGATACTTATTATTTTATCGTTGTATTTGCATTAGCTCTGGAGAAAGACGACAAACAAATTTTATTTTTAGAACTACATATATGTATCAATTGCAAAATGAGTAGTATAGTGCTTCTAAAATAAAAAATAAAATTATGAGATAATTAATTGCATTTTTAATTATGCTAAGTTTTAATTAAAAATTTGGCAATAATGTCTTTCTTTTCTTTCTCTTTACTATCTGTGGAATCTTTTTTCCTCGTCAATCGTGGTTCGGTCAGAAGTGGCGCGTTATCCTATGGGCAAAAAGGTAAATTGCCCACCAAGAAGGAGCTCCAAACCAATCTTTTATAAGAAAATTATTTCTCCCGAAACATTCCCCAGAAGAAAAATGTTTGAAGATAATAGTGTACATGGAGCTCCCTAATTCAATTTGTTTGTTTTAAGTTACGGCAACGCAACCTTGGGCGATCTGCCTTCAGGTAGGTATTTTTAAGGGTAACTGGCCCCTACTCAGACTTTACAGACGTGGAGAAAACCCGGAAAACTCCACGTGGCCACCACCGAACTTTCAGTGTTCAGGGAACGATACCGCTTGGCCACTGGTGGACCGCTTCCTAATTCAAATTCCACTGGGTCTCGTGAAGCTATAACGCGCCATTGACGGTCAGACTCACAATAGGGACACGGACGGCCAAGTAATGAGAGACAGACTAATACTGAGAAATTCCTTCCTGAAAAGCTGTTACTTGTCTGTTCGTCTGTCTTTCCTTAATCTCGAAAATGGAGTTAGATAGATGAAAGACTAGACCATATATGAAAACCTTAAGGGAAGGAGGTCCTGATTAATACACGAACTTCCTGTATAAACCGGAAGTCACGTTATTTCAATTCAAAAATTTTATCGTAAAAGATGTTAGACAGATGACCGGCACTACTCTGTAGTTAAAGGAAAAGTATGATGTACAGGAGTAAATCACTACTGATTTGAGGTGGAGAGCATATATTTTAAATTAAATAAATTAAAAATTGCAGCCCGGCATTGTGACGATATCATAATAAATAATTGCTCTTTCTACTTAAAAACTTAAACATAGTTTCTCAGCTACATACCTGTTCCTTTAATCGTTCTAATCGTTCATTGGTCAATTGATAGTTAAAGTTACATCACAACTAATGCATCAATATATACGTAAATAAGTAAAAAGTTACGCAGTCCTCGGTAGTATAGTGGTAAGTATCCCCGCCTGTCACGCGGGAGACCGGGGTTCGATTCCCCGCCGGGGAGAAAAATATTTTTTTTCCTTAAAATTAACAAAAATTCTCATTAAATAATAAATGACGCCATAAACAGTTTAATATTCACTGATAGCTCGTTTAACGTTACTCATTAAAAACTTATTCTTAAAATTTGCATCTAGATGGCGCTATATTTCTCTCTCTCTTTTGTAAGTAATTAATTAACTCCTTAAGTTGATCTGTACAACTATTTTTGTGGTGTATGATTTAAATGCTAAATAAATGTCTATAAAAATGTTAAAACGGATATTAAAAGAAAAAATACAATTTAAAATCGAAGACAAAAAATTTCATTTCATTTCCTTATTTCCTGTTATGACTAAACATAGGCTTATATCAATGTAACTTATTTATCAGTAATAAATACTTGGCATTTATATAAACTAAGAAAATTAAGAGTAAAAAAATAATACATTTTTATAATGAACCAATTACCTTTGATTTATTATAAATTTTCTAATTATTTATTAATTATTTTATAGTTTAGATTATACGAGGAATATTTCACTTTTATAATCACTTAAAAGGGGTGCTATTAATCACTTTTATTAGTTAATTAATTTATTAAAATAAAATAATAAATTAATTTAAAAGTAACTAATATGAAATTTATTATGGAATATGTTCAATATTTACATTCAAGATTTTTTAATAAAAGCATTAAAAATATTTTTAAAACTAATATTAAGTGCTGTAGATTTTATTATAAACAAAATATTTCCGAGAAAATTTTGCTTATTAGTATTATTCTGTATTTACACAAGATTCAAAGTATGAATTTACATCTGTCTGTTTTTATGCTTATAATAAATAATTAAATAAACGTGTATAATATTATTATATGTTTGTTTATTTATTTATAATGTCGATTATTTACGAAAAGACATTTACTTACCGTCAAATGTCCCACTCCAACCTCTTGGAGCACGTGGCCTATAAGGATCAACTTTGGAAGAAGACTGAGGTTTCGTTACCTGCTTCTGAATTTTGGGTTCAGATGTTGGTAATTTGACTGGAAATAATGGTTTTGAGGTATCAATTTTAGTCTTTTCTTCTGCAGCTTTTATTACAGTCTCTGCAACTCTATCGGGATGTACATCCACGAAAGCAGCATCACAGCTTCCAATAGGTGATTCCATAGCTGCTGCCCACGGGCTTTTGATCATTTTCAGTCTTTGATTCTGCACACTTTCTTGTTTCTGATATCGGTAATCGTAATCCGATTTTAAATGAGATTTGACCTTTTCCTCGTCTACTACCCATTCTTCTGATTTTTTCTTTCGTTTAGCAAAGAGCATGGCTCCTTTTCCAGTGGGAGAATTTAAATCTTTAACTATTCCCAAACAAATATCCGGACTGACCACATTGTGTTCGTTGATATTCTGGCCAGAAGAACGTAGTTTGACCATATCCTGAAGTTGGCGAGGATCCAGGATAAGTTTTAATTTTGGAGGGCCTTTGCTTACTTTAACAAATGGATATTTGTTTGGATCTGGGGTAGAAACGTCGTTGGCATCAAAATATGAATCGCTATCCGAACTAATCGGATCCGGCCCTAAAATTATAATTTGAAAAAAATTCTTTTTATTTTACAGTAAAATATTTAATAGAATTAAAATATATGAATATATACATTCGTTAATTAGTAAATTTGAATTTTATCAGCACGTATATAAAATAATTTATAATAAATAAAATTTTAAAATAGTAATCAAATTTATAAGAAACCATAACAGGTAATTCCCGGAAGTAAGTGGAAAAAAATCTATTTAAAGAATCATAGTCACAGAAAATATTTTCTTTTCTTTGCCAACTTTTTCTATACAAAGCCGTGCTTCCCACTAAGAACTTTATTTTCTTTAGATTTTTCTTTTTTGAATTACTCCTCTTTCCTATAACTATCTATATTATTGAAAAATCACGAGTTTTAAAATGATTCTCTATTATATAATACTTAAATCCAAAAAACATATTTCTGTTTTCTTTCAGATATGCCAAGTTTGTGCCGTGAGGTAAAGTAGCATTGGTAAAGCTACAACTAGAATAAAAGAATGGTTTGTTTACTTTCGTAAATGAGATGTTAGCCAGAGCAAAAGACGAACCTTGGATCCCCCACCTGTGCCTATATTTATCGCTATTAGTTTCAACTAATTAGCACATTTACAGCATTCAGAAGCTTTAATATTTAAATATAGTGCCCGTTTTTCTAAGTCATTATACAAGCTCGATGTATTAAGGATTGTTTTATATCGACTGAAAATCACTTTAAGTCCAAATTTTTAGCTTAATATTAAGTCTTAGCATAGACTGATATATATATGAAATCACGTAATCATAATTCATTATAGTTTTCGCTCAAAATCAGATTTTCTCGTTCCGTGTCATAGACCATGGTAAAACAATACGACCATTCCATATGTTGAACTGGCAGTCAAGCTATAAAAGGCAGTAGTAATACGAAACGACCAACTAGCGAGTCAGCAAAGCCGCACACACTCCTGCAATTCCTCTACATGTTGAATATCTATCAGATCGCTTTTAAAGATGTTAGTCTCAAATGCCCTTATTTATAGAATAATTATTCTATTAAATGTTTCATTAAAATAGTTTCTAGTTCAATTACATTTTGCATATTATTTCCGCAAACTTTTGGCATTTTGATTAATTTCTCGGTACTATTCGTCATTAAATAAATAAATAAAATTCCAATAATGTTTGAAGCATTCTTAGTTTTTTTTTCCTCTTTAAAATTAAAGACGACACAGTTATTTTAAGAAGTTGCGTAATTGTTGAACACGTGGTTATTCTGCCTTATGTAAATAAAGGAAAAATAGTATCATGTCTGTTTTTTGTAAACTTCTCTTCATATTCAACCGACATATAATTTTCAAGTATAATGGCCTTCTATATTATTATTCTATTTAAAGAAAAATAGAATTAATTAATGGCCTCTTCGAAGCGAATGATACTTTAAACATTCTGTAAATTTTAAAGACTTATTTCACACTAGCATATTTTAAGAAAGTTAACATTTTGCAACTTTTTTCTTCCAACCTACCAACTATAAATTTAGTTCTGAGTTCCATTAGCTGCCAAGGTTTTTCCTTTCTCCGGTTCTTTTAAACTTGAGTATGCTCAATAACAGGTGTCATTTCCCCCTCTCTCGCCAGAAGTAAGGAAAATAGATATCCATTCTGAATATTTAACGACAAAATTCGACATTATTAAACTTCAAAATGGTTGCGTTATTGCTTATAGAAACCATATTTCAGTGTAATAAATTTATTTTACAGATCGATAATGCCCAAATCCAATTATTTTAAGAATGTGTAGAAGACTTAAGACTGAAGTAAGAATTTATTAAAAGAGCACGATAAGTTAATATAAATTGTCATTTGTATTGTAATTTAAGTGTTTTTACCTTATTTTAAACCGAATTTAATTTTCTAATATTAGATTAAGAACAGTGAGCCAAATTAGCCTGTATACAAAACAGTGATGTAACTTAATCACTCAGGTAATCTATAGGTCTTTGTTGGATGCTGCCATTTTAACAAGGATGTGTATAATTGCTGTCTTCTGGATAATGTTGCTAGATTTACCAAGGTGTTACAAAATTTTAGACTGTTATTCTTCACTTGCAAAAGTAGATTTATATACAAACGAATATCAAAGAATATTATGTGTTATTTTATCATAGAGAATGACATAAATTAAACATCCTTATGAGAAGAATAAAAATCAATTTTATATAAAACTATAATGTCTTTATATTTTAAAAAAATTATATTGTTTATTTAACAATTTAAATCGTGTAAAAATGTATCCTATTGAAAATTATGCATTGTTTTAAAATAGAAAACGTATTCAATGTACTTAATAGCTTTAAAATGATTGTAGGATAAGGATTTCTAATTTTTAAAACGAAAATATAATTATACGTTTGCTGTAGATAGCTTTATAAAAATGAGTGTTAATATAAAGTGTGAAATTTTATTTATTTCTTGTAATTTTATTAGTTTTATATATTTCAATAGCGCTACGAAGTATTTTTCACCTAAGCTAATATTCTAATTCAGAAATTGCATTGTTAAATCGCAAATTTAACAGTTTTAAATACATATACCTGGCGAACCCACTGAGTGAACTCACTATCACTGTTGGAAGCATCCAAAAATAACATTGGACAACTCTTAAAATTGGTCGCTACTACCTTCCTTCCTACAGAATGAGTCAAAACTGAATACGAAGCCAAAAATCAAATGCAATACGTTTGCAAAACAATACAACACTTTGTCTCTATTTAATGATGATAAAGAATCAGCACATACCTTCGTGGATCCATTTTTCAGATTTAGTCACCCTTCTGAAAAACATATTGGCGCCACGTGATTTCTTATTTTTATCAGATGACAGCGAATCTGCGATCTTTCTACATAATTCTACTTGTTCTTCTACCGTTGGATAGATAGCATTCGGTTCCTCGTAAAAACTCGAGGAAGAAAACATTTTTTCTATAACAAAAAAATGTGTTTTTATGTGCTTAAAAACTTCATTCGTAATCTGCATTAATGTTTAGTTTAGTCAATTTTTAAACGGTATCTAAATTGAAAGTTTTTAAAGTCACGCATAATTAAAAACTATTTGTACGTATGCGTTAAACTTACTTTTTCTCGGAATTGAAATTTCCATGTTGTAGTCAGACGGCGGTTGATATATCTTTCTATTTAACTGATGTATGTCCCTTTTCCCCTCAGTGAATGTAGAATTCATCCCGAGTAAAGGTTGGTCCTAAAAACGTCAAATAAATGAGAAAAGACTGCATATAATTGCAATACTAATCAATTACATTACTTACCTAATCTATAAGCCATACTGGTTAATAATCAGAAAGCTAATCTAAATAGAAAAACTACTAAGTGCAGCGATGAGAGTTAAAGGGTGCGCGACTCTTCGAAATGTTGTGACAAAATAGAAACCCAGCCAGAACAGCGAATATCAGAGCTGAATATAGAGCAAAACACTCGCTAGCAGGTGCTTTGGACGGGCGGAGTTAGATTCCAAACTTAGTTCTATTCCGCGTAAATACCGTTTAAAACTTAATTTTCGATTTGAAATTTTGCTAAATTAGCTGTTTATATTTAACCATTCTAACTGAACGCATCGATTTAAAATAAACGCTGTTTCTTTTTTTAAAAAGATTAAATTATTTTATTTAAAAAAAAGTCATAAAAATAAATGTAAAAGTACTTGACTCTACTCTTATGCTCCGTTATCTATTCATAGACTAAACAAGATTTAAGCGGATGCAGACAAAACACGATAAAATAATTTATAAATGTCTTAGTACAACTCACTTCATACCTAGAATTGGAAAAGAAGAATGTCGATAATCCTCAGAAATGTGTTAGAGACTGACTAAGTAAGAGAATAGAGTTTTGCAGGTTATAAGTTCCCAATATCTGGAAACACACCAAAACCAAGGCAAATGTCTGTTTTGTCGTCCTTGGCTGTTATTTCTAGGACGATTTTTACTTGCCAAACTATACTATGTTATTCTAAACAAGCTGATAAAGGACAGCGTATTTAGATTGCTTTGCAATTTCCTCAAAGAATTATCTAGTGTTTTGTAAATAAAAGAATAAAGACCAATTAAGATAATTTTATATTAAAATGTTTCACTTAACGATAAATTTACTAAATGTTTAAGCGATATTATTCCTATATAACATTTAATTATTATTCCCTACTTTAATAATCGTTAATTAATTATAAAATACAAAAAGATTTTTTTAAAAATATCTATATAATATAAAAAACTATCAATACCTGTTCGGAGTCAGATGATGTCATAACCGTCGATGCTACACTTACACTTGACATCATCGTTTCTGTCACACTGTGATTAACGACAGCGTGCTGTTCGAATTCAGAGACATTAATTGTCTGACCAATGTCATTATAAATTTCTGTTTTGGTTTCTAAATCACCATCAACAGTTTGTTTTTCTTGCTCGATCACGTTTTCCTTATTAGAATCATTTATATCCTCAAGTTTTTGACAACTACTTTCTGATTCTGGTTCCAGTTCTGAAATAGATTCATCTGATTGTTGTTGATCTATTGAATTTTGTAATGTTTCTTCTACTTCTTTCACTTCGGTTTCTGATACTTCAGCTTTTTCAACTTCTTCAATTTTTTCTTCATCAATTACCACGTCAGATTTCTGATCTTCAGGATATCCATTTACCTGTGATTCTCCTGTATCCATAGATTCTTCAGTATTTAATTGTTCTGTCTCTATTTCTTCTTTCTCAGACATTTTCAAAAAAGGCTTTGGGAGGCGAGGCAATAAAGAAACTGGCTTTACTTTGAAAACTTCTGACTGTTTAGTAATCTAAAATGTAATAAATAAAATTGCGATGTAATTAAATATTACGAAAAATTTTTAGTTTTAGATAAAATTAATGTTAATTTTTTAAAATATTTTATCGTATTCTGTATCTGTATTTATTGGGCATAAAAGAAACTATAGTAAAAATACATTATTAATAGTAAAAAAGAAAGTTCGTTACAAAGAAGCTTTTATAAATTAAAAAATTAAACTTTGATTTGACCAGCTGAAAAGACTGTCTGTTTAATTAAATTTTACAATGAAAGTACAGTCAATTTGGAACTTCATCTATCCAAGAATTGCTAAACGATACATTACGAGTAGACAAGTCGCAAGCATAATGAAAATAGAAATGCTATTTACAGCTTTCTATTCGGGAACTACATACTAAAGGTACATTAAAAAATCATTCTTCAACAATTGTAATTGTCTTTTATATGTTTTGAAAAACTTTAATCGAATATAAAACCTTATATCTAACTAGAATCATTCTTAAGGCAAAGATATTCAGCATGAAGAATAGAAATGTTTTATAAAAGAATTATTAATTAGCAAATAATATATAAATAATTAATGTTCATTTTGGCAGGAAAAGATATTTTCTTAAGAATTTTCGATAATTCTACTTCAAAAACTTTTATTTAGCAATTAGTATCTGATACAATTAAAACTATAATAAAGAAACAATGTATAGAACGATGTTCTGAGCGTTAGTAATTACATTTATCAGAATTTATAACTGTTTATACTACTTCCCTAAATTTGGCAACATTATCGTGAATAAGATGAATGAATTCTTTGTTCAAAGAAATAAATTACGAGAATATTTAAATTACACATTATATTTTAATTATTTCCAAATTTATTTGTAAATATGGAGTTTATATAATTACGTTTATTATATAATTTAGTAAATAAATGTAAAAAATAATAAAATGTATTTTATTTTGTAAAGATGAAAAGTCAATCACCTCAACGCCAATTAGACTAAAACTTGTTTACCTTGGAACGATATTCTGTTGTGAAATCTTCTTCTCTGGATCTCTTGTAGCTATCATCTGATTGAACATCAGAAATTTTCTTGGATTCAAATGCCTGATTAGCTTTTTCTGTTCTAAATGAATAATATTAAAAAAAATTACTTAATAAAATATACACTATCGTGTACTAAATTGTTAATTGCTATTATTATATTTTATATTTACGGATAAAAATTATGAAATTTGATTTATTATTAACAAGAAATTAAATTTAGTTGATTTTTTTAATGGGTGTAATTCTTAGCGCTTAGTTCAAGTGAAATATCATTTAACTCTGTAACAACTTAAAAAATGACATCTTTAGTGGTCACAGTCCCGTGAGTTTTAAATAGCTATTTTATGCAAGAAAAAAAATTAAGAAAGAAATACTTGTTAAATTCTCTAAATTTATGCTAAATATAGAAAGAACAAACGTATGCAATAATAATAATTTTGCTTTACTCTCAATTTGAAATTATGCACTTCAAAAACTAAAATTTATTTTTAAACAATTATACTCTCATTTGACTCAAATTTCTTTTAAAAACATCTTTGATTTTCCTATGATGTTTTAATGATGTTATTTATGAGATTATCTTAACAAATTTTCCACATAATTAGACTATATAAATTTATAAATAAAATTATGTCTTCATCTATGCCAAATTACACTTATAAATATAACTTTCAATTATATTCAAAAACTGTCCCTCATAACTTTTTCTGAATACAGAACTTACCTTATTTACTATTGTTAATAAGTGACCTATAGATTTTATATCCTCATCCGTTCACACAATTAAGATCACAAATGATACCATTGCCCAGTGTGAAAGATTAACAATAGATGAGGAATGTGATGTCAGCAGTTCACGTGAAGAATAAGCCAATAAGTACCCGCTTAGAAATGCAGTATCGACGCGACCTTAACAACTAAAATCCTACTAGATCAAATGAATATTGGCACATCGCCATTTTGAATTACATAATGCAATAAATTAACACTTTAAACGGGAATGCTGGCACAAAAATTCGGTTTTTATTGTTTTACTAATCATAGACAATATCAATTGGAATACATTACAGTAAATTCTATACCCTACTTAATTATCTTACCTGTAAATTAGCAAGACTAAATTTGGGCTTCCTTTATCTGCTAAAATCATTACTTCATCGTATGTGAGACGATTGCATGGTTGATCGTTGCATCGGACAATAACATCACCAACTTGCAATTTACCGAAAGATTTACTTTTTGTACGAACCTACAAAAATTGATTAGTATTAATCCATGGCTCAATTAACTTTTATTATATAATATAACATTTAAAATTCTTAATTAAACTAATATAAACTGAAATGAAATCATTACATTTTCATTTTCAGTGTTTATTTCATTTTCTATACTAACATTATAATTAAAATTTTGTATTTAATTAATCATCCAAATTTCATTAGAAAATAAGGAAATAATTATTTGTTGTTTTTAAATAACTTTGATAAAAACTTGTTATTATTATTATTTTTATTTTTTGTTATTACATTTTATTTAAATGAAATATTTTCGGATAAATGATTATAGACAAACTTACAGGTGAAAAATAATGATTTACTTATATACAGGTATATATAAGTTTATATAACTTATAAAGTTTCTATACATATTCATACATTCAAAGCTAATCGATTCCTGTTTATAATAAAAATTTAATCAAGGCAAAATTAAACGGACACACAAAAATGTTCGCTTTGTTAAGGTAAAATGGGGAAAATTATTCTAACAAAAAGAATTTATTTTTAAATTGAAAATTTAACGTTATGTCTATAATACAGTTTGAAGTGGACAGTGTTTATGTTGGGCGAAACGCGAATATTGAATCTCCTCTTAGAAATACACTACTCTTATGTCTGCTTATCAGCATTTTGGCACTGCTACAGAAAGCACTTACCAAGTAACTGATGGTGTACTTGAGGTTTTTTTTATCATGATGCAAACAGCACTCTCACCATAAAACTGGTGAGAACGAATGTGCTGAACAAGAGTGCGTAAACAATGTGTTTGACAAGCATATTGACGCCAGATTTGAATAACTTTTCTTTCCGACTCATTAAAATAGCAACAGGGTTTTATTTTCTAGAACATTCAAAGAAAATTGTCTCGAAATGCTTTCTTTTCTGTCGATAAAAACGCTTTTAAGATAACGAGATTCGTTCGTAATTTTAAATAAAAAAATTACTTTATGCCAAATCAATTTTTAAACATTATATAGAAAAAAAACAATGTTAATTCCTAATTTAACCGAAAATTAATTTAAAGTATTAAAAATAATAAATTTATTTAATTAAAATAATTTAAATGCTAAGAATATTTTAAAGATATTTCAAAAAAGAAACATTGAAGACGAGACACGACATGATTGACTATCTTAACACGATGGAATGTGATGCCAGACAATCAAAAATAGCTCTCGTTTCTCATATCTGATCGATCTGAAAATCAATAATCTCATTAATAAAGCGTATTCAAACCAAAATAATTTTCGTTTGACAAGCCATTTTCTTCGTGAATAGTATAATTAATTACAGACTAAGTGTCTGTGACTAACTATTCTGTACACTTTACAATAGGTAAAACCCTACATCAATCAAATTCCGAACACCGAAAGAAATAATTGATAAACATTTTATTAAACGCATTTTAACTACATTCTATAGTGTTTTTCTCTATAGGCATCGTAAGCATTTTTTAAAATACTCAAGGGGAATTTAAGATATAACCACGTGATGTTCCCTTGATGGATATGTACTGTCTTTTCAATACAGACTTCATTGTCTGGCAATGGCGTACTTAAAACGTATCAGAAAAAAAAAAATCTTTTCTTTTTATCTCAGAACAAATTCTACATAGCGCTTTGTTTTATTTCAGCATATTTGTAAACCACTTTCTGGGTGAATGAAGTTTACAAGATAAAATTAGAACAAATAAATTTTGTCAGATACCATTTTTCTCGAAAAATATATATGCAGCTTTTATTTAAAATCTTTTTATTAAGTTTATATAAAGATTACATTTAAGCTTTTTAGAGTTTTAAAAACTTTCAAGTTAAACACATCACTCAACAGAGATATAATTATATTCTAACTTCTAATGATAGCGTATCTTATACAAATAATAGAATTTGACTCGAGATAACCGCATAAAAATTATTTATAAATCCGAGTCAAATAGTTTATGGATGAACTTAATTCACAATGAAATCGGTGTGGATAAAGCATGAGGAATTACGTCCAGATCCGAGCTATTCATGATAAATCACGAATACGAAATGATGAAGCTGACCCGTAATGGGGTCGGATGGAAGATGAGGAATGGCCACTTAGTCGACATTAATAAACAAATGTTATATATATATGTTACCGCTAAAGCTCGAAAGCAGTTAATGTGTACATTACCTAGCTAATTTACAGATTAACTAGGGTGATCCGTTAAAGTTGCGAAAATTGTTCCATTTCTCAAATTACCTAGGTAATGTGCAGATTACCTAGATACAACTCTGCACATTACCTACTAGGCATTCAGTAAAATGATAATACGATCTTTGTGGGAACAACAGCAACGTTTCTGTACGCTTAAATTAACATAATGTTGTTTATTTAATTGTCGATATCTAAAGAAGCAAGTTAATTAATACAATCAAACAATCAACAAATTAGTTAGTAGAATCAATCATCAATCAATTAAAAACCTGTAATACAAAAAGTCAAACGGTTTAAAATATTATTACAATTAGGAAAATGGGGGATTATATAGATAACCACCTATGAAATTTCGGAACTTTGATTATATATATGAACTGAGGGGACCAAGGCGAGTTCAACGATATACCCTACTTTTGGACAGAAGATGAAAAATAAAAAAGTTATCATAGTTTTTCCGGCGATCGCATTATAAAATTGTGCGTTAACGTTACCTATGATGACTAAAATGGTGGCTTATCTCTGATTCCAGCAAACTGAAGAAAGGAAACAGTGGGGACGCACGTTCTAACCTAACCTAACCTATTCTGATAAATTACCATAATTATTTCCAACCAAATTATTAGAATTGGTTAGGTTATGTTAGAACGTGCATCCCCACTGTTTTCTTTCTTCTGTTTGCTGGAATCAGAGACAAGCCGCCATTTTAGTCACCATATGTCACATTACCCAATTGTGCAGTCTAAAGAGAGGCGACACTTTGAATTACTTGGCAATTGATTTTTGTGACAAGCACACCTATTTGTGGTACATTTATATCTGGCAAAGATCTTATTTTCACTTTACCGAGTGCCTAGTAGGTAATGTGCGGATTACCTAGATACTCTGCACATTACCTAAGTAATTTGAGAAATGGAATAATTTTCGCCACTTTAACGGTTCACACTAGTTAATCTGCAAAGTAGCTAGGTAATGTACACATTAACGGCTTTTGAGCTTTAGCGGTAACATAGGCCTATATATAAGTATTTTAGAGATGCAATTAATAATTTCGTCTCAGGTTAGTTCTTCCCATTAAACTTTTCCGGAAATAAGTCGGATGGCTAAGCATTTAATTTAACAATAAAATACAGTGAATTTGTAAGCATTGCAATACTCATCATTGAATATTAAACATTTCAAACGTAAAAACAACTGAAAATGAGCTAAAAATAATTCAAAATAAAGGAATCGCAAATAATGATGGGCACTAACTACATAGCTTACTATAGTTATTAACTAGTATAAAAGGCAATGAGATTTAACTTCTAGTTAACTATATTTAAACTACTCAGAAATAGAAAAATAAAAAATATTACTTGATTAAAATAAGTTTTGTTTTCGTTTCGTCTTCATTACTTAAACTCTTTTATTTCTTTTAAAACTGATATCTCGAGAATACAGGATTTTGAAAGTTTTCATCTGACATTCCGTATCATCTAGGTGTTAAAATTTATCTCGACAAAGATAACAGACGTTCCACTGCATCACTACTGGCGAGGATAACGTTGTATTCTAAAAATGCATTCTTTACATGCCAGTAGTTGTGTAACATACTCAAACCAACATCATTGTTTTCCAAATTCCCTATTTTATATGAAAATTACTGCCAACCATATTATTTTAAATAGCGTAATAATTAATAAGTAAAGACAAAAAAAAATTAGTTAGAGTAGTTGAAAATAAATACGTAGTAAAGCAGTAATTTAATTACCGAATTGGGACAGCAACTGTAACTAATTAACTATATTAAGAGTAGTTTTTAATTACACTTAATTACATCAGTAATTTAATACTACTAATCAACAACAACTGCAGTCTAGTCAAAATGAATAGGCATCACGTACTGTGGCCATTCAGTGAACCGGTGTGATGATAGCGGGAAATTTAAGTGCGATTTCATAATTTTGTACGAATTAAAAAAGATGCCGAAAAATCGGTGGTCAACTTGTATTCAAAACTGAAGTAAAGGTCGACACAAGATATATTTTTCAGTCTATAATCAACGACTTAATTAATCTCTTACAGGAAACTAATTGTGAAGAAATGTAAGTGCTGCTCTGTTTTCTTAACCCCTTTTCACATCAGAGAGAGAGTTAAAAGGAACGAGTAGAAATAAGATCAGAATTCTTTTCTATAGAGAATCGATCTCGGGGGTTTTTTAATGAAGCATGATGTGATTATATCTGCCAACTAGACGATAAAGGAATGCAGGTCAAGAAAACTATCATTAAAGTATTGAAAACTTGATTGAGCATCTACATTTGTTGTTAAACACTAAGCTTTGGCAAGAGTATTCTGTTAGATTCTCAGGCTATTGCATCTAAGATATCTTAAATCATAAGATCCTAGAGAATATTCTTTTAATCTTAAAAGCTTTCTCTTAAAATACATTTTAAAGCATAAATAATTATAACTAAAATTCGTATATTTAAAAAATAATAAAAATTATACGATTAATAAATGACAAACTCTAAAAATCTCAAAAGTTTATAAATGAACTCAAATTTTGAAATAAATTAAAAAAGATACTATACACGAATTAAGTGAAATTTTATATGGCTTATCTATAAGTTCACATCTATGTCACTTTAAAAACTCTGATCATTGCAAAACATAATGAAGTATCATTTACATGTAGTCTATACAGTATAAGAAAATATAGGGTAGCGTGACACAAAGATTATACAGCGATAATTTATACTAAAAATAAACTGGATGATCACCACAATTGATAACATCATCCATTCTTCAAGAAATACGCTACTGTCTTTAGCTTCTGGAAGATTCTGAGTGGAGTTAGGCAAGCTTCTATATGTTCCTACAGCATCCATATTCAAATGGATCAGGAGTGTTTTTTGCTAATTTCATTCATAGAATATTTTCATGTTGATTATCAAAATGTTTTACCGTTTCAAATAATTATTATCTCCAAACTATTAAAATATTACCTATCAATAATTTATTGAAATGTTAGAAAAATTCAGGTAATACAGTATTTTAATAATTGAGTAACCTTCAGTCTGTTTTCTAGATTGATAGAAGAGTAAACTCCATCTAATAATCTCGAGTCTAATCCCTATTTAATTGCGCTCTGTTATGAGAAAATATTAACGGAACACATACAGAGTAATCGTTGATACAGTCCTTTCTATTAATAATAAAATATTTGGGTAACAATTCATTTTGGAACTTGTAGATACAATAAACTACAGAGATTTTGCATGCTGACATTTATCTGATGTCTAGTTAATTAGGGCAGATGATTAGCTCCAGATGATGTTATCATCTTTAGGAGACCTTTAAGTAGTTTATGGACAAGTCACTTGATTTTTTTCTATGACACTCGCGAGATATACTTGCAAACTACTAATAATAATACTAATAATAGTATGTACTAGTTATAAAATAATATTTTACGTATTAATATTATATTCCTTTATTTTATAGATTTTTATAAAAATTATTTTTTAAAAAGTCTTTAAAGAGTAATATAACAGTGTATGTAACTTCTGAAAACTGAATTTTTGATGGGAATGAAACTATTTCCAGTATGTTACTATTAATAACCAGTTTTAGATTCATTAAGATTGATATTTTGGATTAAATTCGTAGTCTTCTAAATTCAGTTGTAACTCGTATTAGATTTCTAAATCAAGTACAGTATATTTATAATGAATTATTTGAGCCATCTTTATTTATTGTGAAATATTGGCTAGGTTATGAAATATCTAGTTTCACAATGAAATCCAATATTTAAACTTAAGTTTTAGTAGAATGAGTTTCTAAAGGGATGCATTTTACATAATTAATAGTTGTAAATTGTTCCTAAAATTAAAAAAAAAAAAAAAAAAAAAATTAGAAATTCAATATATGAAAATATTTTATTAAGAATTAATAAATTGATAATTAGAATTTTGAAATAAATTATTAATCTAGATGTGTAACGTGATTTTATAAATAGGAGCTTCACTGACCTGTGAAAAATAGTGGCTCCATCTGATGCTGAAAATAATTATCGAAAAAATAAATTTTATACAGTTAAACCTATCCAAAACGGAACCTGAATAAAACGGAAACCTGCCTAAACGGAAAAAAATATTCGATTCCGGTTTACACATGTTTTACTGTATAATGTATATATTGTAGATGTAAATAAAAAAAAATATTACGTAAGATATAATTTTAACATAAGTTTTTAAAATAATAAATTTAATTTTGTACTTATTAGAAATAATAAAGCATTTTAAACATGTAATAAGTAAACATAATTATTTAATTGGCATTTAAGATTTTGATTCGAAATTTTACATTTTCAGATTGTTGAGATTGAGAAAAATTAATAAATCAAAAACTCTTTTTAAATTTTACATTATACATAACTAGCTGTTACCCGCGGCTTTGTCCGCGAGGATTTTGCAAGCAAACCCTATTTATATTCAGTATTTCAACAACCATAGTAATTGTTATATAACACCTACCGCTGAGAATGATGGGAATTGTCGCGAATCAAACGAACTATTTTCAATTTGATCAATTTTCTGGAACGTTTACAATCGTTCTATAATCGAACTAATATGCAATAACAAATTCGAATTTAAAACGGTTCGAACATTTGGTTAAAAAATCAAAATATATAAAAACATTTACAGTGGTACCTCAGGATACGAAATTAATCCGTTCCGAAACTGATATCGTATCATGAAAATGTCGTAAGGTGGATCATCTTTTCCCATACGATTACATTTAAAACCAAATAATTCGTTCCAACGCGAAAAACATACTCAAATTAAAGCCAAGTAATACATTNCAAGGCTGGATGAGGATTTTTTTTTCATGTGTTATGAAGTATTAAATCCAGAAAAATATTCATTTAATATTGAAGAAAATAAATAGACAATATACAGGCCTGAAACTCTTAATATTATATGAAGAATTTTATTTAATATTAATATATTAAATATTATAGAAGTTATCATTAATATAAATAATAATATATCAATTCAAAAATCATATTAAATTCACTAGTTAAGTAGCTTTTTAAGATTATTTCATTAAAAATTTATGTATAAAAGATAATTTAATTTAAAATTGAGAGAGAGAGAGACTAAAATTTTCAAATAATTTTGTTTTAAAGTTTGTTCGTTAACTTGTCTGTTCGTATCTTTCGATCTATAGGGATTAGTCGTTTAAAATGCATAAATATTAGAATTTCAATAGCTTTAAGTGAAAATTTTATATTTATTTTATGATTTAAAATAAATAAAAATTCTAAATAATGCAACAAAATAAACTATAAATTATTAATATAAAACACGATAAATTTCTTCTCGACAATATATTTAAATATTTCATTTTTAATGATTTTTTTTAAGTTTATTCTTCATAATTTCGTAAAATTTTTGAAGGATTTTTTCATTTATTTGCTAAATTTCACAAATTTTTCTTCTTTTCTTCTTCATCTTTTGATATTTGTACAGTCGACCCCCCTATAACACTGTTGATTATTCCGTTTTATATGAATTCCATGTTGTACGAATCACTTAGATTTTACAAATACGTGAGCCGTTCACAGCCCGGCACACGTATTTGTAAAATCTAAGTGACTCGTACAACATGGAATTCATATAACACGGAATTATCTAGTATTATAGGGGTCTACTGTATATACAAATTTACACTTTTCAAATTATACTATAATTTAATGCTGCGGTCTTGCAGAGATTTTACTTATTATAGATTAAATATTTAGGATTTGGTTTATAAATAATTATATCTTACGAATATTTTCTTAGCTGACGAGAACGGATTGATCTAAAAAATCTACTTCTCTCGAAATATTTGATTTGATGAAGGAGGGGAAAAGTACATAATAGAAATTAAAGTAACATCTACTTATAACTTATGCTTAACTTTATTGAAACAGACTTAAATAATTTCTTTAAAATTTTATCGTTTAGGAGCATGAATTTTAACATCTGATTGTTTCTAAGTGATAACTTAGATGTAAATATCTCAGCGAGAAATCTTTTCTTTGTTTAAAACAACAGTTACGTAAATTAGCAATGAAAATATCATGTATTGTGGTGAAAATTGATAAATTTTATTTTTAAATGGTAAATTAACTCTGACAATACCGCTACCTTCCATCTGGAGAAGATACTGCCAAATTTAAAGCATTTAACTCATTCTTCCAAAATATCGCCAAGGACAATAACATTGGCCTAGTAAAAAAAATAAACAACCATGCCCTACAGACCTTCCTGAAGAGTTTTTACGACAACACTGGTTAATTTTTTATCATTTCATCATCAAGTTTGATCAAATAATATTTATAGCATCCTAGTTTTTTGACAGAGTCATTTTTAAATTAAACCAGACATATAATTAAGTTTCTCTGTGTTTAAAAATGTCCAAAAATAAAAATAAAAAAAATAATTATAAAAATATTCTGACTGGTTTCTTGCCAAAATTGAATGATATACTGTCAACAGTACTCTGAACCTGCTTATCTAAGCGTGATAGAAGAAGATAATTTATTTATCGTAATGTAAAAGTTTCTAAATGATAAATATTACATGCCTACTTGTTCCATTTCCATCACATTTAGCACTTATACAGCTAGATGCCAACCTCTAATAGCTTTAAAAATGGAAATCGAACCCGGAATCTACACTAATAGACTCTCCGGTAAATTCAAAATAATAATTATTTTCAAATATATTAATTTAATGGTAAAATATTAAAAAAAAACAAGAAAACTTTATAGAAAACATAATGTTATAGCATAAAACATTATGATTACATAATTTTTATTTTATATGAAATAAACGTTTTATAGTAAATGTAAATTCTCAACTGTCATAATCTAAATTTAATTTTTAATAATTATACATAAATATGTAAATTAATAGTTAAAAACTGATTAATATTCATATTAAGAATATTAAATATTAAGATACAATTACTTATTTGGATTAATTTCTATTTTATAAAATGAATATGATTTACCTTGGCGACCGTAAGGGTTTTACCGGTTCCTTCGCCACCTTGTAGACGAAATCCCCAAGGACACCCACCTCCCAATCGAACTGTGACATATTTTCCTGCACCTGTTGTCATTAAGATGTTAAAAGAAGAAAGAGAAAATAGCAAATTCCAAAGAATAAAGATTTATATAAGATACACAATTAATATATTCTACTTTGACGGCACAAAACAGTTAAAATTGGAAGCGGGGAAGGGAGTTGATGCTAATGCTTATAAGTTTTACGAACGGTGTGCTGACGAGAACGTTCCTTCTTACTATATATAAACCGACTTGTTTTTGGTACCTTTTCCGCCCTCTGGGAAATCTTAGAAGCTAAAATATTTTCTTTCCAGATTGATGTACTTCATGTGTTCTTACGGATACGATTAAGATATTAGTTTATAAACAGCCAGTCATCACGACGTTTACCGTATATATACAAGTATATACGCACAAATTTTAAAAGTTAACAATCTATCACGTCTAAAGTTAAAAAAAAAAAATTATCTGAAATGGTTTTATAAGTTCTAGAAATTAACGAAATTTTAATAAATTATTCTAGAACTTTCGTTATTTATTAAATTGTAAAATAACAATGCTTTGCCAAAATTATTTTGGGTGAAAGACAAGCTACATTCCTATATATTCGGAACGTAGTTGATTTTTCGACCTTTGTCAAAAGTAAAATTATCCGCTTCGTTTACTCAGCAAACAATAAACAATCATCAGCAATAACCCAATTGTTTTGTTAAACATAACTTTATCCTAAAGACTTGTTTTTGACATTTACATAGAAAGACTTGAAAAAGTGGAAATTTCCGTTACGGAAGTAGGCCTTTTGGCTGTACGTGTTCTCTTGGCACTCGAATGTGTTTAAATTGGACAAACGAAGATATTTTGTTTCTAAAGATTACAAAAAGGAGAGAATTTATTTATTAAAATCGTATTTAAAAAAATACACATGTGTTTATTTTGTTGAATGTTAAACTTATATTTAATGATGTATAATAAGTGTGGTTGATATTGATTTTTATACAATTTTAAAAGAATATAGAGTTAAATTATAAATAAAGTTTGATTTAATACGAAGATTGTCTTAAAATAAAATATTTATTTTAATACAAATATTTTAAAAGGACAACGAGCAATTATTTATTATGATATCGTCATAATGCAGGGCTGCAATTTTTAATCTATTTAATTTAAAATATATGCTTTCCTTCTCAAATTAATAGGTATTTGCCCCTGTACATCATACTTTTCCTTAAACACTAGAGTCGTGCCGGTCATTTATCTAATACTTTTCAGGGGAAAATTTTTTGAATTGAAATAACGTTACTTTTGGTTTCCTTCGGAAGTTCTTATATAATTAATCGGGGCCTCCTGCTCCTAAGGTTTCCACATCTGTTCTTGGTATTCGTCTATCCAACTTCATTCTCAGATTAAGGAAAGACAGACAGACGACAGTAGGAATTTATAGGTCTACGATTTTTTTCAAATTGCAGCCCAATTGAAAAGTCCACAGTGACTAAAAGTGTTACAGGAATGCTAATATTTTTATAATTTTACAATTATTATGAGCAGTTTCGACTGAAGTTGACTAGGAAGAATAAAAAACTCCAACTCCAACAGTAGCATACAAGTAAAGGTCACTGGAACCTTATCATTAATGTGGACTTTATTATTATCCTTTTAAAATATTCGTATTAAAATATAATGTGATGACGCGTTGTTATAAGAGTTTTAATATTTTTGTAATTTTACAATGATATATATTATGTTTTAATACATAAAGAAGAATTATTCAAGCAATATCAACGCTTGGATAATAAATATATAAAAGTTGTCATAAAATTTATATATTAAAAAATAAGAATAAATATTTTCTTTCATTATCTGTACAAAAATATATGAAAAATATTAATAAAATCTTTAGAAAGTGAATATTAAAGATGTGTATGTACAATTGAAACAGATTTTAATGTGGCCTAAATTACAGTAATACCTCGATTTTAACGGATTAATTCGAGGAGGTGTACGTTAAATTGAGGTTATACTATACTTCAGTGTTTTTCAACCTGTGGGTCGCGACCCCCAGGGGGGTCGTGAAGTCTTACACGGGGGGTCGCGGGTAAAAGAAAAAGACAAGTGTTTGTAGGTCCTACATCACATTAAAAAAAAAACTACAATTTCAGCGAGAAGGCTATACCTGTTTATTATACAGTACAATTGGTTTTTTGATCTACATTCAGGTCTCAACGATGGGTGTAGCCAGAGATGGGCCCGGGTGGGTACGGGCCACCGCAGAAAATGATAGCCGTAAATAGTGTTGAGCTGACTTGCAAAAAGAAGTAATAAGTAGAAAAGTAGAAGTTGGAAATTCTCATCCTATAAAAAAAAGCTTCAACAGCATCCCGAGCCCAATGTTATAATGAAAAGGAAGTTTCATACGTTATGTGTCTTAAGTTATTGTCGATTCTTCTCAAATTCTTGTTTTAATCAATAATTTTTCTCAACAGAAAAAAAATTAAATACATAGTTTTTAAAATCACTGATATAGTTTTAATATGGCCCTAGGGGGTCGCCAGAATTTTTTAACTTGTAAAGAGGTCGCTTATTCAAAAAGGTTGAAAAACACTGCTATACTTTATACCTTATATAATGAAATGAAATATGATTTTGGATATTTTATCCAATTATATTTTTTAAGTGATTAAACTTAAATTGTTATAAAAAAAAAAGCAAAGTTTGTATTTGTTTGATAAAATAAAGTCTCATCTGTTAATTAATATTCAATGTTTTTCATTTTTAGTTATCAATTATATGAAAATGTAAACAGTTTTGACATTTTATGTAAACTTCTGTCGATTAAACACACTTCATTATCGGTTAATTACGCAATAATGTAAGTGAAAATATAAAAATGAAAATAGATATTCGTATTACGTATAATTTCCAATTATGGATATCGGTAGAGAGAATACAAATCTAAAGTTGGCAATTAAAATAAAAAATAAAAAAATTATGTTAAGAAGAAAGTTAATATATATAAAGTCTTTTTAAATCTTCGGAACTTTAAAGTTGAGCTGAAGATCAACTAAAATATTTTAAAAATAAATAATACTTCTATTAATAAGTAAAAATCTTTGGGTAAAAAATTTTATTATGATACAGGGATTAGAGAACAAATATGTAGCAAAACATTAAAAAAACAAGGGAAGAGTCCGACAATAAAAGATTGAGAAGGAAAAAATTAATGTAAACACAAAAACAAAGAGGATTGTTCAAAACTGATAGCGGTAAAATTTATACAAGTATATGCAAAACGTAGTAAACATTATGGAAAGTATATTTTTTTTTAAACTGTAGAATAAAGCTGTCAGATACAAATTGGCCTTTTATGTTTCAACGTCAGCAAAATCTTTTAAAAGACTATCCTTTTGAGTGATAGTAAATAAACCGCAAGGACAAAGTCTCTGAATAGTATAAATGTATTTATTTAATCCAGTTTTCTCGTGGTATGTATGCATTGCGTTTTTTTTTTTTTTTGGAACAAAAAGTAAATGCTTCTTAGCCATGACTAAAAACACTTTGCTTTGATAAGCACTAATCTATAATAAGCGCCAGCTTTACTGGACCGCCCATCTCGACGAACAAAATTATGAAATAATAAATTAAACAATTTTATTATTTCAAATTAGTTTGCTCTGAGCCATGATGATTATAAAGATTTATATGCAGTAGTATATAAAATTTATGTATGCAAGTAATTACGTTTTTTTGATTAAAAATTATTATATAATTTTGTTGAAAGAGTGACTGCATAATTTCACGTATAGATTTTGTTTTCCTAATTCCTTTTTTTTTTTTTTTTTTTTTTGTTAATACAAGCACATATTAATATTACGTTAAGTTAAACATATACGTATAAGTTAAACATATTAATAAATATGTTTAACTTATATAAAAATTATGTGATTTACTAAACAATTACAGAATCCTTTTCTTTCTGTTAAGTACTATCATATATGCTCAAATAAGCAGAATTTTTACTATGAATCCAAAGATTTGGGAAGTAAAACCTTAAAACTCTATGATTTAAAGCACTCTCGCTGGTTTCACTCGGGACTAATTTGGCCTCGAAAACTAGGAATGTAGTTTTCGTCAATATACCACGGAATAACTACGTAAAAATTGATACAGTAGCTTCTTCAGAGGAAGCAAACAAGGCACTTGCCCTTCCCTGAGATCGAGAAAAATTTAATTTAAAGTTGACTATTTAACACGTAAAGATGTAAGATGTAAGAAGTTATAATCAAATGCATTATATCCACGATGCCTAACCTTTTTTCGTCTACGGGACATATTTATTATCGGCACTTACATTTGAGCCAAGACATTCACGAAAATAATAAAAATTCAGACTAAAGAAAAAAAATATACCGGTAATTTCTGGTACTCATATGTTGCCCTCAATATTGAATTATGTAGACATAAGTGCAGTGTTTGCAGTTGCTTTTCTGAAACCAACTTTGAATGTCTGATTCAAATTTGGAAGCACATAATAAAGATAAACATCTGTGATGCGATTAAGCAAGATAGATTTCGCCCTCTTCAACACAACGTTTATTCACAAAGATGGGAAAGTGAACAAGCTGTCCTCTTTCAACTTGTTATATGAAAAACTGCAATTTGGTTTGAAACCCTGTTATATCCGCATAAACTTGCAAAATGAGTTTGTCTTTTCCTTGTAGTTTGATATTCAGTTCATTTAAGTGAGCTGTAAAAATCACAAAATTGCCAAATCCCAAAACCACCAAGAATTACCCAGTTAGGCACTTGTTTTGATTTTTCTGTCATAAAAATTCAATTTCATACCTGAAGATGAAAAACCGTTTAGCAAAATTCCCTCCACTTAACCAGCGAACTTCACTGTGAAATACGACATCTTCATATTTACATTCTATTTCACTCAAAAACTCTGACTGAATGTTCTGTGGTTTAATGCGTGAGATCCTATAAAATTTACAGTGTTGACCACAACTTTCATAACATGTTCTAAATTCAACACCTTACCACAGAGATTTTGTTGATGGATTATGCAGTGCAGTTCCAACGGTTTGATTCCATTTGATTCAATGATCTTTCTGCTGACCCTGGTGCTTCAGTCCGTTCTGGCGTCCAACCATACTTCTTGAATCGTCTGTGGTCACCTCTGCTAATTTCTTCCATGAAAGGTTTAGTTTCTCAATCACTTCTGAAACTTCTTCGAAGAGATCTTCTTCTATGGTAATTCTACGCTTCCCATAGCCGCCAATTCTTCTGTGACTTCAAATTCTCTATTTGAAACTCGAATAAATAGTAGGAATTGAGCAGTATCGTTGATGTCGATAGACTCGTTAGCAGCAATCTAAAACATTTCAAAATAGGATGTCATGTTTTTCAGTTTTAATTGCAGATTATTTCCAAGATCTTCAGCCTGTCTTGTAATTGTAATGCGTGAAAGGCTGATGGCTTCAACTTCACTTTTGTTCTCAGGACACATCGTACTTATTTCTATGTTTAGTTTTATAATTCCATATACGTTATGTTTCTTAAACACATCTAGTTTCTTTGCAACTCAAACACATTGCCTTGTTATATTGTTGCAAAAAAGTAAAGATTTATCCATTTTTCTTGAAAATTCCTACACACTGAGTCAATTTTTCTCTTCTTTGCCATCTACATTTTCAAAAGGAGGTGTGCTTTAATTTACAATAGGTACCAGGTTAAAGTAACAGTATAGTGAAACACTTACGACAATAAGTACATGTCTAACGTCACAACTACTCCATCTGTGCACAAATATAAGATTTTTCTATGAATATATTAAATACTATAGCTACTAGAGAACGTCACTAAGCGCCAGGACTGACAACATACTGGGGCAACATAACAATACAGCTAAAGTCCAACCGTCCCTTAAGAAGAAGAAATAAGTAGTGAAACACGTCTCCGTCTCGTGATAAAGACCGAAATAAAATTCGCTCAGTATTTGTGAAAGGAGCCTATTATAAACGGAAATTTCGCCAGCCTGATAGCATTATGTCGCGGCTGGGTGTGGCCCCAGTGGCGTACCGTAGTGGGGGCGGCAGGGGCGGCCCATCCCGGGCGGCACTTTTTAGAGGGCGGCAAAATTATCTTTCAGGGGCGGCAAAATTTCACAATAAACAATAATAATATCTTGTAAAAATTTGAAACATCCTAATCTATACTTGCATCGCGCCTACGATAGTGCTATCGTCCAGACAGTCCGGGAATCGGCTCGCTGTCCGGGTGAACTAGTAATTTTTTCATCCGGGGAAATCCTGCGAAACCTGTTGCCTTTTTTTTTTTACTTGTACGATTCATTCGCGATCATATACATCACTAATATCCAATTGAACTATTTTAAACAAGTCACTGCACTACCACCGAATTTTTCATTGCTTGTTCTGTGACAAAACTGAATTTTGGTCTTTTAAATTGAAATACCTAAATAAGGGGGGGGGCGAAATTTTCCTCCGCCCCGGGCGGCTGACACCCACGGTACGCCACTGTGTGGCCCCCGGGTCGTAGATTGGGCATCGTGGTTCTAAACTTATTAAAAGTATCGCGAAGAAAAGATATCTATTTTAGTTATTACTTTGTTTTGCTATGACTTGTTAATTAAAATCTTATTTAATGGTTTAAACACGGCGACCGAATGGTCGAACGGTTAAGCTGTTAGTCTACTGTTCTGAAGGACCCGAAAACGAATCAAAACGCTCCAGGAATTATTCGGGGAGGGTGCTCCGTCCACATACATAGAACACTTGATTAGTCCCATCATTGGACTGACCAAATCCACAATGAACTTAATGAAAGACATTCTTAATGTCGATAGGACAAAGAGTAAAGGCAAAAGTGGGTTAAATACTTAATTCTTCGATTTCAATTAATTAAATCGAATTTTGAAAAACAAATAAAAAATTCATAAAAATATATCATGGAATATTGAAGAAATAATGTATATATATCGATGTAATGTAGATGTGCAAGCAATTATCATAGAAGTACCCCCAAAAATTTTTGAATAAATTATATTGTTTATTTGTTATCGCTAATACTAAACGTTCGTTATTTGATTTTTATATCGATAAATAATATTAAATAACGTAGGTAATGTAACTACGAATATAAATATTTTAAATCAAATATTCTTTTTATACTTTACAACTTTCGCCGGTAGTTGGAGATATGTAGTTTATGACGCAATTGATGGAGCCACGTGTTATTTGATAGAACACGAGCACGTGGTAGCTGCAATATTGTTTGTATGGGATATATTCGTGTGATCGAAAATTAAGGTAAATGAAATATATTCTATCCGTTAATATATTAAAAAAAAATTGACAATTGTGAAGTGTAGTGCGATGAAAATTATTTCCTTTTCAAAATAAAATATTGTTTTTGTTTTCTTAAATTAAAATAGATATTTCAATTGAATGCGAGAGCCCGTCTGCCGATAAACAACAATGAATGAAATATATATTTCTCATTTATTAAAGTTATTAGTTTATTACTACTATATATACATAAATATAAAAAATATATATAACTTTTTTATTTTTTGACATTTTTACGACATATTTGATGAAATTGCATCAGTATTTATAATTTTAAATAATTTATTCACTTAATTTTCAGAAGTATATTTATTACAATTTACAATACTTGGTCTTAATAGAAATAATTACCTAATACTTAAGATCACGATTGCAATTGGTTTTACTTTCAATTTCGAATAAAAATATATAAATTATTCTTAAGTTAAATATCTTAATAAAAATATTTCATATTACAAATAATACTGAATCTTATGAAAATATATAAAATACTATTCATTAACTAAGAAATGAACAATGAGCATTTAATTTGGTAAAGTTAAAGATGTTTGTTAAAATATAAGCATAGTTTTAGTTTTTAAACTGATGTTTATTTCTTAGTTAAGGAAACTAATATTATAATATGTATTCTGTTCTAATTTTATTGTAATTTATATTTATCAATTTATTTCAATTTGATTATACAGTTACTATATGTTTAAAAAACTTAAAAGTGTATGGCTTTGCTTTTTCTATTAATTGAAAATTTAAATATATATGAAACAAAAATAAAATAAAATACTATATATATTGATACATATCATGCATGAATTTATACTGTATTTAAATGAGTAATTGCTTTGTAAGAAGATATCTTTGAGCATTTTTATATTTGAAAGAACAGAAGAATTTAATATTGATACTAAGTAAAAGTATAAATAAAGACTTAATCTGTTTTCCATATCATTCTTGATTTCAGGAGTATCAAATTGAATAGTCATTTTAAATTTCTTAAATAAAATAAATAGAAATATGATAAAAAACCAAACAGTAATCATACTGAATTTTTAAAATGAAACAAAACTTTTGCTTTTCAGTGACATTTGCTTATGTATTCTATATATTGCAAAAAGCTATAATGTATTTTTTCAAATTGAAATCATTGAGATTCTGTTAGATTGTTGCAAATGAAATGGCTTATTTTTATTTCTGACTTTGAATGTTTATTAATTTAATTTAAAACTTACATATTCAAACAAAATTGTTTCCAACATTAATACACTTTTCCCAATGCAATAGAAATGCATTAATGCCAATTTGAAAGAAATGACAAGAATGAGAAGCCAAAAAGTCATTAAGTGTGCTTTTTATTGTGTTTTCTTCCTTGAAGACTTTCCTTGTTAAAAAAACTGTTCAAATGTATAAAAAAAAATTGATAGTCTGTTGGAAAAAAGTCTTGAAAATAAAGTGGATGGGAAAGAATTTCATTTGAATACTTTTATTTTTGCGACAAATAATGAAAAAACTGCAGACCTTCAAATAATGCTCCTCATCTCTCTCACTGAGTTCATGTGATACCCATTTGTTGACTTTCCCTAATGTGTTTAGGTGATGAAAAATGGTTGAATAATGTCCAGTATATTCAACCTTCCCACGATTTCCTGGACAGTCAGATTCAATTCTTCAATTCTGATTTTTGAGATTTGTATTCCCAGAATGAAATTATTTTAACCAATGCCTGGTGGCCTGCTCACAGAACCTTCATAAAAAATTTTACCATTATTTTAGATTGCTTCAACTACAGTCCCTGCTTATACTCAAAAAAAGAAAATTATTCAATTTCCTTTTTTCCATGCCAACAAAAAAAGTACTGTTTAGCACGTGGAACTCATAATATAAATGAGATTACCTTTTTAAATTCACATATTATGTGTGCTCTTTCAATTGCAAACATACAGCACTGTTCACAGAAAAAAGTTGAACTACAAGACCAGAAAGTTAAATTTTAAAAAATGGTTGTTTCATTTGCAACAACCACTATTTTGTAAAAACATTTGCTCCCTGCTATTTATTTCAATTATATTGTGCAAATTACTATCTTTTAAATTGATATTTTTTGATCTGTAAAATATTTCTCACTCTGATTATAATATTTAAAGATGTTGCTTAAAGTTGTTTTTATTCTTAATAAAGATAAAATAACTACATGGTTTAGCATGTTTTAACTTTGTATTGTTGAATTGTGTATAGTATAAGTTTCTATTTCAATTATTTATAGTAAAATAATAAAACACTTTAAACAAATATTAATTTTAATACAAAATTGGAAATTATTTAGAAATTGGTTATTTAGTCAAACAACTTATATGTATTTTTTTTTTAAATTAATATATGGAAAGTAAACTTGACCATCTGGAAAATAAAGTATTATTGTTAGTAAATATATAATTGCTTTCTTATATGTGTATATTTACTATATACTGTATATGTATATATATATATATATATATATATTTCCTGTTTACACAGGTTTTGGTAGTGTGTATATATGCATATATATACACACTGAAACCTGCCTAAACAGGAAAAATTCTTCAGAACAGAGAAGTTTACTGTTAAAAAAAAAACCTGCTAAACCAGAAAGAATATTCTTACAGTGCAATTTTGTTTTACAGATTTTACTGTATATATATTTTTTGAAGTAGATTTAATAACAAAATGTTGTTTCACTGCCATCTGTAATAATGAAAATAAACATTAATTTTATTGCTTTTTGTAATACAGTTATGTAATTACTACTTAATAATTATATTAACAAATTAATTCATTTAATACTAATTATTTTATTAATGTTTTATGCTTATCTTATAGCATGAATTCAGATAAAGAAGTAAAAAAAGACCCCACTGTAGTAAATAACAAGAGAAATTTACAGGTCTTAAATAAACTTGAAAAAAATTTCCGTGGAGGACGTAATCGGTAATAATGTTGAAATAGTATATGAATGATTTGATTAAAATAGTACAGAATGTACATAAGTAGAGTATATTTGCTATTTTTTGTTTTTCAAATAGAGTTGGTGATGTAACTACTGCTAGGAAAAGAGTTTTTGTTCCAAACATTCCTGTACGTCGAGAACAATCAAAAGAAGTGTGAGTGTAGAATATATTATGGCATATGTTTTCAGTTCAAAGTGTTTTTGGAAAATATTTATTTGTCACTATATTATTTTAGATCTCAAGAACAGCAAAAATGTGATAAGCCAAAATTTAACAGAAGTGAGAGAGGTAGAGGATTTGGTAGAGGTGGACGTGAACATGGAAGAGGTAGAGGTAGAGGTGATCTTATACAAACACAAGGAGGTGTTTTTGCTGCAGGTCCTTCTGCACAATTAGTGAAAAGAGGTAAACATATATTTCTTTAAAAGTTTTCTTAGTATATCAGATAAATTGATCTTACAATTTTAAATGCACTTCCAATAGATGATGATATAATTTATTGTTAAAGAACAAATGTTCATATCATTGTATAGAAAGTTGAAGAGCTTGAAAGTTATTTTACACAAATATCTTTAACAGTGCTTTCTGCTTATGATGATTTTTTCTCTCCAATGTTGTTGCTTTCCTTTGTTTCTTTTCATTAATTGAAGTTTCTGTATTTCTGTCTTATTATTCTGTAATTACTTTTTGACATGTTGAAAGAGCAGATAAATTTAAAACATGTACATGTGAATAATATAACAGTAAATATTAAAAATTTACAAATCCAAACTACTTAATAGCTTGGTAACTGAATAAATTGGAGCTACTCTGGAAGTCATTTTGAGCCCAAGATTACCTGATGTCTGTGAGCTTTGTACATACTGCATTAAATGTATATACAAAGCACACTTACAACATTGCATTAGGTCAATGTTGTAAGTTTTCTTTTTTCAATTTTACAATTTTCAAATTGTAAAATTGAAAATTGTGAAAGATATCATTTTATATACAGTAGAGCGTCAATTATCCGAATCAATTGGGGACTGGGGTTGTTCGGAAAATCAATATTTTGGATAACCGATTATGCACGAAAAAATATATTAACCTATCCCATGTTGAAATTTTTTCCATTGTGTGTCGCTTCGCATTGAATTTTCGTCAATGTTAAGCCTAATGTAAACTTTTTAAAATAATAATCATGACTATTGTATCATTAAAAATTATTTCTTTATTTTGTACAAACAAAATAAATATATTGAAAAATATAAAAACAATGAAAAATTATACTTCAGAAGTTAATTCAGTATCAAAAACGTAAAATATTTGTGTAGCCAAAGACATAGCCAAAGATTGTAGCGCCACAGCACTGGCAAAAATTTAAATTTGCTGACTGGAATTCTTTCGGATAATCGACGTTCTACTGTATTTTTATATTTATAGTTTTAAAATAAAATCTTATGTTATTTTCAGAAAGTTATTTTGATCTAAATAAATGTCACTAAAAATTATCATTTTTCATAAGATTATATTTTTTAATATAAAGTCTGAATGACAGTATTTAAAATGATTTGTATTCATTTAGTAATTTTGTAAATAGTTTTTATGGTAATATCAAACATTACATTAAATAGTTAAAAATGAAATAAAATAACTTTTCTAATAGAATATACTTCAAGAAATATTGATGAAAATAGTGTGCAGGTTCCAAAATATACTCCCGTCTCAGTACAAACAAAAGAAGAAAAAGAAGAAGAAGAAGAAAAATTAAAAAAACTTTTAAAAGATGACGTAAGATATTTAGAGATTTATTATTATTATATATTATCAATAGATTTCTGTAGTATTTATGCATGAATTCCTTCAATAAATATGTTAAGATTAGAATTCTAATATTCATTTTCAAATAAATAATGTTATATTATATATTTTTGTTTAGAACTGTAAAAATATATAAAATTTGAAAGTTTAGTTTTAGGATAAAGTCCATTCTAAAACCTCATTCATATAGTTTCATCATTTTAATATAATTACATTAGAGATTTTTTTATTATGTAAATCATTGTCAGTATACATCTACTTTGAACAGAACTTCTATTTTAATAGGTGGTTTCCTTTAAATTAACACAGTCATAGAATAATTTCCATCTTTGTATAAAAACATAACTTTGTCATTATTTTTATTACTTTATTTTAATATAAATGTTAAGATTTTACAAAATGAAATAAATTTAGAGATTTAATGTAAAATAAATAAAATGAATAATTTTAATTTTATATATTTGAATTAGATATTTAAACCAAGATATACACTACTGACAGAAAGTTTAAGGCCAACTATGTTTCATAAAATAAATAAAATTCATTGGCTTGTAATTATTCAAACTATGCACATTTATTGTGTAACGACTTAAAATAAGAGACAGTTCAGAAGATAACATCATTGTTGACACTATTATTTGGAATAATGACAACAGTGTGGTGTCATGCTAATTATATGGTGGCATCATTAATGCAGTGGTGCCTCAAATTTCAAATTTAATTCATTCCAGGCAATTTGAACTTTGAATTGTTTGAAGTCCAAATCAATTTTCCCCATTAGAAATAATGGAAAGTGAATTAATCTATTCCCAGGCTCTATACAATATTCATTTTGATAAACTTAAACAGTTAATACATATAATTTAAGGTAAAAATAATACAATTAAATGTCCTAAATAATAAATAAAAACACAAAAACAATAAATAATACATTAATATTGTATAATAAAGTGAAAATTGCATTTACTGTATCTTAGTGAGGAATGATGGTATCCCATTTCTAAAGGTTGCTATGCAGCTGCATCTGAGGATTATTTACAAGAAAGTCCTTTGTTTTCTCATAAAAAATTATCAAGTATTATATGTGATATGACTTCTATTTACAAGTATTCGATTGTATTGAATTCTCATACAATAAATGAGCTGTTTACTTTTATATCTCTCCTCCATTTATGAGATGAAATAGTTGATACACTGAGTGCCAGCTGATAGTTATGAGAACAAAATATTTTAATTTCAGTGCAATGAGATTGATATTTGCACAAGCTCTGATTATATGATTTGAGAGTTCCAGTTTGTATTTCCTTCGTTTCACTCACATTGTCTCTTTTACTTGTTTTTTTGTTTTAACTAATTAGTTTTCTTCCTGTCTGATTATTTATGTATTTATTTATAATTTCTTATTTCATATTTTCTTCTCACATTTAATATTAGGTATTTTTATATTGGTTAATAACTTAATCAACTTAATTTAGTTTTATTTTATTTGGAATCATTTGCTGATAGGATAAATATGTTTTTGTAGCACTTTAATATATTTGAGAAACATGAATACTATGACTGATTTATGTTGGAACAAGATACAATTTCAGTTATATGTGTTGAAAAACATTTTATTTTCAAAATTTTAATTTACAAGATGTTTTAAAGTATAAATTATATACTAATTAATCAGGGATGCCATTTGTTGTTGAATATTTTACTTTGTTATTAGACAAACTAAAAGTGGAATTTTGTAAAAGTAGTTATAGTAGACATTGAAAAATAAAAAATTATAAATAATTATAATTTTTTTAAGAGTTTTTTAAGGAAAACTAATGAAGCTAATATTACATTTTATTTCTTATCAAAAAATTTATTTGAAAGATATGTTTTAATCATATCTTTCAAATATATTTTTTTCATTTTATATGTATGTATATATATTATTATAAAATATATTATTTATCGATGTGACATTTTATATTTTTGTATAGTTTATTGGCGATGATTATGAATATGATGACATAAAACCAGTGAAATTACCATTATTTACACAAATGAAGTGTGAAGAAGAATCCAAACCAGATCTAACAAAAATTAAAAGTAAAGATAAATTTTTATACAGATAATTTAAGTTAATGTTTGTTGTTTGAAAAAAATAACTTTTTTGTGTTTAAATTTAGTTAAAAAAGAACCTAAAGATGAATGTAGTGATATGGAAATAGATATTACTGATACAGTAATAAAAAAAGAGGAAGTAAAGACAGAAGAATATGGAGATGAGGAGACAACAGTTAATGATTTATTAACTAATAATAATAATTCAGGTGAAAGTTTGCGAAATTTAATATATGTTTTTAAAATGTTTACTTTTAAACATTATGAATAATTAATGATTTAAATTTATTTACAGAATCTGGAATGTTCTTTTTCTTTCAATTTCCCATGTGTCCATTGAAAGATTATTTGGATGATGATAAAAAGCTAAATGTTGAATCAAAATCAACAACTAACAATAGTACAAATAAAGTGAGATTTCATATATATTTGAAATTTTAATATTGATATTTAATTTGTTTTATACTTAATTTTTAAATTGTGTTAAATTAGCAATGCTAAAGTTTTCAGCATTATTTAATTTTCTGATTAATAACTTGATAAAAATTATTTGTTTGCTGGAATGTTTTTATTGCAAAAATAAATGACAAATATTTTTTGCTTATAATATCAAATTATTATAAACAGAGATTGGATTTGGTAGCAATTGCACACAGATAGTGGTGAATCCTTGACAACAGATCTTTAGGGGACATGACTCTAAGAGCTTTCTAAAGAATTTTAGTTATTTTGTCGCTGCTTTTAACTCTTTAGCCACAGAGTGCTGAATTTTGCTAGAAAATCTGTAAAATATGTATTTTTGAACATGCTCTTGTGGAAGAAATAGGTTACTGTTGTCTTACTAATTCTTAATCATTTCACAGTTAGGTTTAATATAGTAGTTCAAAAAGTATTGCTAAAATTCACTTTTACAAGAGAAACAAAGTTTTATTCTCCTAGAACAAACAATTATCTGTTGAGGAATTTAATTATAAGCAGGTATCTTTTATGCCTCCAACTATCCACTTTTCTTCAACGTGATGAAAGAAAGAGAAAATTATACTCTCTGCATTTAAAATATTCTATATTTTATGTCAGAATACATGTGACTTTCTTATTGATGTTATCCAAAATATATGTTTAGTGAGTTATTTACTTTAAAATTTTTCAAAAGTTGCTGCTTAGCCAAGACTGCTAAAACACATTCCTGCTGCTCTCAGCAATTCAGATTAAAATTCTGATTGGATTCTCTAATTTTCATGTGTGGCCATCCAAGAAACAAAGCATTGATAAATATATATATCCATTAACCTTTTAATGCTTTGTAGTAGTAAATTTTAACATATTATGAACGTTTTTTTGCAAACTCGCCATTTCACTAGCTTAGAAATTTGGAGGCATTGGAAATCTTTAAAGTGGAATGCCTTTCAATCAGTTTTAAAGACGAAAAGCAATTCTCGAGGTCAGGCTATGTACAACCCAATGTTATAACAACTGATGCAGGTACACATTGTTAGAAATTTAAAACATTTTTAAAAAGAAATTCAAATACAAATTAGAATGTATCGGAAATTAAATAGAACGATAATCATACCAGAAAAAGTTTCTGTAGAATTCCATTTGAAGAAGGTTCTAGGGTGGACTGAAAATGTTTGTGATATGTTAAAATTTACTGCAAAGCATTAAAAGGTTAGTGGATATTTTAGGCCTTGTTCTTCATCATCTTGCTCATTCCTATTGCAGATTTGGTTAAATTTCTGATGGGCATGTTAAAATGCCCTCTTAATGTTTTACTTACTCACAGGCAAACAGAAAAAATAATAACAACAAACAATTATTTATTGTGACATTATCACAATGTCAGGCTGCAATTTTCAATTATATTTTAAATTTATTTAATTTAAAATACTGTGTTGTAATAAAAGGAAAAAAGTATGACAAGGCTCCCTCTGTCGCGTAGCAGAAGAGTTTAACTTTTTAAAATATTTTTTTAATGTAAACAAATTGCATGCAAGTCAGCCTTGTTTTCTCATGAAGTTCACGTGTAAAAGTTATATATTTCAATAAAAAGTAATAGGTTATGGGCCAAGTCCATATCCAGTCCACATGAAGATAAGAAAAGTAATTTTGAATGAAAGAGATCATTGTGGTGCACCTCTAAAGTTGTGCTTGGTTGAATACATGTGAATGAGAATGAACAGAAGGAAAATGGCTGTCAGTGGGGATTACAAGGTAAATGTAGATAAGCTTGAAGGGTCTGAAGACTGGGCAAAATGGAAATGGCATGTTTCTATGGGTACGTTTACTTCTGAGGTAATAGTGCTACTTCCGAACACCGGAAGTGACATCATTAGCATGTGTATTCGTGCTTACATGTCCAGTTCGAAAGTAAACGCGAATGCTAACAAGAAATATGGCGGTTTCCTGCAAATAATATTGCCAAAGCTGCTATTTTAAATGCTACGTTACAGATATAACTATTTGATTCCGAATCAGACGAGGATGATTTTATTGTGGATATAATTGTAGAAAAATGAAAAAAGAGAAAAGTAAGGTAAAATAAAAAAGATAGAGTCTCTTCAATAAAAGTTTCTACCTTTTTATAAGCCAACTGATTTTAAATAACCTTAGACTTACAAGAGAATGTTTTGAAATTCTCCTCTAAAAAATAAGCCCAATTATAGACACCGAAAAATTACTTCCTCTGGAAGACGACTCGTGTCTCCTCAAAAGCAGCTTTTATGTTGTCTATGGACATTGGCAAATCAAGAAGCATTCAGGTTTGTTTATAAGAAGTAATATATGAAATTAGATGCAGTTTATAAGAGAATAGTAGATTATACATACATATAATACATATTTAAAGCAATTGTTTTACTCAGTGAATGGATGTGACGTTGTTTTGTTGTGGTGTAACTAAACTGAGTTCAAAATTAACAAATAATTGATATTAAATACAAAACACTTTTTTATTTCTTTCTTTCCTCTAAAGGTATTGGTGATCATTTTAATATGTTTAGACGGACTGTGCGGAATATTTTAAATAAAGTTGTTAATTCTTTCTTACAAGTTAGTGTTAAATGAAAATGAAAAATGATCTCTTGGCCATCACACAGCAGAATGATGTAAGAATAATGGAAGTTTTTATACCCAATCTGGTTTTCTTGGAATTAGAGGTTCTAGTGATGAAAAGCATATGGCTATTAAGACATCAACTGAAGAAGCAGTAGCCTATTTCAATAGAAATAAGTATTACTCTGTCATCATATAAGTTTAGTTTGTAATGAAAAAATGGTATTCAAATGATACAATTTCTTGAGAAGTCATTTCCCATATGTAAATGAAAATTCATTCAAGTATACAAACTTATGTAATTTTGGATTATTATTAATGCTGTTCATTTCTTTACGATTTATTTAATGCTCTGAACATAACATTTCTGAAGATTCCAAATGCTATTAGGTAAACCTCGCTTTTAATCATAAACAATGAATCGAACTTAATTTTTTTCACATTAATTAACTCTGTTTATGAAAAAAGTCATCTAAAGCTATTGAACCTTACAATGAAAAAAAGATCATTGTAAACATTTTACACAACAAATAATTGAAATTTAGCAATAAAAATACTTTCTGCTCTTTATTTTTCGAAAACTAATTCCATTTTTAGTACTTTGTACAGAAAGTAATTTTTTCATGAGAGCAGCCATATTGAATTAGCACAAAGCTCGACAACGAACTAGCTAGCACTCCGAGCTTACCAATTTCGCTAAACATGACGTCACATAGCTCTAAAGTAAATGCCAATGAGCGTGGCACTCGGATGAAAGTATACAGGCTGAGCGTGCTGATAGTAAAATTAGCTCAGAAGTAAACGCACCCTATGGTGTTGCATTCATACGGATTAGAAGATATTATTAATGGAAAGTGTACATGTTGAGTTACCAACAGAGCTGACAAATGAACAAAAGGCAACATATGTTGAGTGGCAGAAAGATGACAGGCAGCAAGTTTGATAGCCAGTACGCTAAGTAAATCAGTTGCTGAGATCGTGTTGACATGCAATGGTGCAAAAGAAATTTGGGGTAAATTATGTGTGCGATTTGAGTGCAGTGGTACACAATGCGCCAGTAACTGTTGGACAATTCATTCTTTTCTTAAATGGTAGTCTATGCATTTTTCCCAAAGCACATCCATCACTTCCGACACTCAAGCTGAGAAAGGGATTTCCCGAATTGCAGATGAAAACTTGATTGGTTGTAAGTGCGAGTGGTCATTAAGCAGATAGGTCATAAAGTGAGGAGTACCTGTATTAGAAAGATTCCAAATGGCTGAATCGAATACAGTTTCAACTCCTGTTGGCTGTGAAGAAAGTGATCTCGACGAGGCAGTGTCATCTGATATACCCTATTGTGAGGCAATAGGCTGTCTCATGTATCTTGCAACAGCATCTCATCCAGATATTTCCTTTGCAGTGAATAAAGCTGCTCAAGCTACAGAGAAACCAGCTCAAACCTGATTCAAAATTGGAATCAGGTGAAACGTATATTTCAGTACTTGAAAGGTACTATGAACTGGGGGCAACATTTATAATAATAAAAAAGAACTGAAAATCTACAGTGATTCTGATTTCATTGGTGATGAGAAGACAAGACGTTCAGCAACTGGAATCATCGTGAAATTCTTGGGTGGAGCTATATCATGGAGTAGCCAATTACAAAAAGTAGTGGCAATTTCCCCAACTGAAGCAGAGATTATCTCAGCAAGTGAAGGAGCAAAAGAATTAACTTGGCTACGTTTATTGTCTGAATTGATTGAAATGCCAGAGCATCCTCCAATGCTTTATATTGACAATGCAAGTGCCATAAAGTTAGCAAAGAATCTGGAATTTCATCAATGGTCCAAACATATCAAGATTCGACACTTTTATGTATGTGAAAGATTTTTAAATGGTGAATTCAAATGGGAGCACATCAACAGAAAGAACCAATTGGCCGATCTGTTGATGAAGCTACTTGTACATGTTCAATTTGATTTGCTAAGAGAAAAGATTGGCTTACGATGGTTGTAACCTTGTAATCATTAGTTAAGCACGTTTATTTTTTCTTTTTCTTTTGGAGGAAGTGTTGTAATAAAACGAAAAAAATATGACAAGGTTCCCTCTGACATGTAGCAGAAGAGTTAATGTTTTTTTTTTTTTTTTTTTTTTAATGTAAACAAACCACATGCAAGACAGCCATATTTTCTCATGAAGTCCACATGTAAAAGTTATTTATTTCAATAAAAAGTAATAACCAGTATATGCTCTCCACCTCAAATTAGTACTGTAGTGTCTTGCCCTTGTACATCATACTTTTCCTTAACAATAGAATTGTGCCAGTCATCTGTTAACTACTTTCAGGGGAAAAGTTTTGAATAGGTTTCCATATCTTTTATCTAATTCCATTCTCAAGATTAAGGAAAGACGAATGGATGAACGACAGTGGGATTTTATATGTTTTCAATTTTTTCAAATTGCAGCTCAATAATAACTATATCTTAAAATAAGATTATTGACTTAGAAATTTCTTGTTTCAAGCCACAGATAAATATGTTTCTTACAAGTTTTTTTTGTAATAGCATTAGGTTAGTTCTTATAGTACTGAAATTTTCTATAAATTTGTAATAAAATTTAATATTTTTAGAATGAAGAAAACAGTGAAGATATTGAAATATTCAAAGACATTTCTGATGGTTTGATTGGAAAACTTCTGATTTTAAAATCTGGAAAAGTTATTTTGCGAGTTGGATCAATGTGTTTTAATGTTGAGAATGGTACAAAGACTGGATTTCTACAGGAAATAGTTTCATTGAAAGCTGATGAAGAATCCCAAGATTTGCATGTATTAGGTTATTTAAATAACAGAATTATATGTTTACCAGATGTAAATTCTTTAGTAGCAAATGTTTATATTTGACATTTTTTTTCATTTAGTATCAATAGTAATTTTTCCCTCTATCCAACCATGTTGTTGATGTATGTAAATTGTTGCTGCCTTAAAATATAGAATACTTAATATTTAAAGCTTTTTGGAAATTAATTTATAGTTAATAATTAAAGGTGATAGTTATTAAAAATTTCTATATTACAAATTTTTTCTTATTTAAATAATGAAAATAAGAATTGAAAGTAATTAATTTTTCTAAAGCTAAGCCAATATATTAAAATTTATATTAGTAATATGAAGTCTGTAAATAGCATGCGCAAAGCTTTGTATATTTGTAAACTATAAAAAGGAAGATGCATTTTTCTGCTATTTTTGGGATCATTCCAAATAAAAGTTTATTGATTGCTATGTTATTTGCTTTATGTAATATAATTATTATTATTATTTTTGATCTTGAATGATAATTGATATTAGTAATTTTTCTAGCATTATTAGCCATACAAAAATAATTAATATTTATAAGAAATAATATGGTGTAAGCAAATATAGAATGTATACAGTTTAATAATTGTTCTCAGAAAATATTTTTGCTAAATTATTGCTTACATTATAAGAAAAGTTATTGATAGCTCTTTGATAATTTTAATCTCTGATTTATATTTCAGGCATGATATGAGTGAAAGGAGTAGCTTTTATTAAGAAGCTTTAATAAACTCAAAAATTTTTGAGCATTGAGAAATTAATGTGATATCTGTATGTACTTAGAAGAGTGGAAAAATGTTTCTTGATGATTATATTATATATATATATATATATATATATATATGTTTTATACAATATTTTAGAAATTTCCAATCTTCTTTATATTCTCAACTATGCATCTTGAAATATACTAGAAGACACTGCCCATAAAGTGTGCATTAAGTAGGATTATACAAAAGTTTTCCAAATTGTGAATTGCAGTTAGAACTGCAGGATAAGGATATTTTGATAGAATAAAAACAAGTACACAAAGGTTAAACATATCTTTATTGTTGTCTTATTTTTGTAAATCATATTTATCTGAGAAAAATTTATTAGTAATTAGGATATATTTAATTTAATTCATTGTATTATTTATCTATGAATTGAAAAATAATCACTTAGAAAAGAATTTGTAATGGTTACTGAATGATTTTGATCTATATTTTTTTCCAATATTGATTGACTAGTAAATTCTACTTGAATGAGAAACTGTCAGTATTGCTTTCCTGTATTTGGTATATTTCTATGTCTTATCAGAAATAGTTTTTTGTAATTGTTATTCATAGTAATAATTTAAAAAATTACAGACATTTAAGATTATAATATACTTTTTAGAAAATTCTCTAATTTATAAATTTTTATGTAAAATGTTTTTTGAATTGTCTGCAGTTTTCTTCTTTAGCTATCTTACATTTTGAACAATATATTTAAAGATTAATTTAAAACGGTTTAGTTATTTTTCAGATAAATGTTATATAAGGGTAAAAAATCCACTCTGTATCAATGGTAACAATCAATTTCTCAAGATGAAATTGAGTATATCTAGAGCTTTTATTTAATTTTAGTTATTTTCATCTAATTAATCAGAGTTGCATTTAAACAAATATAATATCAGTCTTCCTTTTTAACATCAATATAATTTTAAAATATCTACATCAAATTCATTTTATTGATTTAATATTAGCATTCATCTTGGATTTATTTTCTTTCTTAGTTTTGTTTAATATCTACATATATTCTGTTTTGAACTGTCAAAATTGCTTAGAATGACTTAGAATGCAACAAATATACTTGTATTTATTCATTGCTGCAAATTTTGGTTTTATGAGTATCACAATAAGGTAAAGAATTATTAGTAGCAGTAAATTTTATATGTTTAGATATCAAACAAACAAATATTTAAATAATTTATGCTGAGTATACGCATGAATATTTTACTGAAATGAATCAATTGTAACAGCATAATATAATATCATACTGAATAATTGCATATTTAATTATTAAACTTGGTTCTTACTGTATACAAAAATTCTATGGCATTATTATAAGCAATATTGTAGAATAAACAATAAATTGTGGAAAATGTACATTCAATATAGTTTTTCTATTATTTTATACTGCTTCCATTTTCTGTGTCTATAATGATATAATAATAATTATAAAATTCTTTTGCTATTTGCAATTTCAGTATCTGTTGTAATAAGAACTGTTGTAGATGCATTAATAAGAACTGTAATTCTCATAATTCTCGTAATTCTTTTTCTGTTATTCTATTCTAATTAACATAAATATTATGTTATTTGAATCAATTAAATGCTAGATTTTTCTGAATTTTAAACATTTTAAGAATTATATCATTAGATTGTTACTGATATGTTTAGAACTTGTTTTCAAATAACAATTATAAGTATTGCTAGTATAATACTGTACTGTATATCTGATCTTAGTCCAAATGAATTTTATTATATGGTTAAATCACCGATATATGCATCTTCAAATTATGTTTAATATAAGCAAAATTTGTACTATATTATATTGTTACATTAAATTGAGTATTTGTCAAATATTTTAATTTAATTTATTTTTGTATATTTATTAAAATTTTTGTATGGTAAGGTTCCTAAAATAATGATTGATAAATAAACCAAAAGGTTTTCTTTGCAGAAGATGTATATTATGTTCTAAATCTGTATCTATAATATTAAGATATAGTCTATTTGTTATGTTATTTCAAATCTCTTAGGCCAATATTTGCAAAGTAGAATGCAAATCTCATCTGGAAAAAAATCAGTGTTTAGTGAGTGAGAAAACCTCTTATGTTTGTTTAATAATTTACAGATATTTTGGATACTCGTATTTAATTATTAATTAATGACAACTATAGAAATTAAAAAATTAAAGCTAATTATAGGAAGATAAAACTGGAATTGTAGAATATAGATGAAAGAAATTGAAATTTTTAAAAATATTTTGTAATATAAAATGTGATTGCTATCCATTATTATTATGTAATGATAATTTTTTAATTGAATAAAAAATTTTCAAAATGCTTTGATGTTTAAAATTGTCATTTATTAAAGGCAATGAATTGCCCATTAATTAACTTACATTGTGTATAAATTACTTTTTCGCAATGCATTTTTGCAATTTGTTGAGATTGACGTCAATAATACAAAATTGTCTAAATATTTAACTAAAATATAGATGAAATATTTAATATTTTTCATAAAAACTTTTGTTGAATAGAATATGTAAACGAGATATTAGGTATAAAAGTGTAAGTTAATAGAGAGGTTGAGGCCGAAGTTCAAACTTCGAACTTGTACGGCTGAACTTGAAGCGAGCGTTCACGTCGCGCAATGATTCATGGGATATTGTTGAAAAATGGCGGAAACGTCTAACAGCGACGAATGTTACCAGCAAAGGTAAATAAACAAATTTCACTATTTTAAAGTATGTACAGGATGTTATAACACTAAATAATTATTTTTTTACTATAATTAGCGTCGTGTCTCCTTCCGTAAGAAGCAATAGGAAAGTTCCAACGCGTTTTTCCTGTTGGCACGACATAATTTTGTTGAGGGAAGTAGTGACTGTAAATCCGTATGCCTATGAAAATCCGAAAGTTGCGTGGAAAGATATAGCTGAAAATTTACAAACGTATTACGATGTCGACGGTAGAAGATGCCGTGAAAGGACAAATTTACTTCTACAATATTATGACAAGGTATTAGCGAGATTGCGGCTGAAGTTTTCATCTCTAAAACGTGAACGCCGAGCTCGACGTTCACGCTTTAGAGATTGGGTAGTAGACGGCCATCTTGAGTATCAGATATAGAACCTACCCTATTTTTAAATTATTTTAAATAGAGTATATTAAAAGAAGTTTCTTTACAGAATGATCAAGCCAGTTTGAGAAAATCTGGAACAGAAGAAGAATTTACAGAACGTAATGAACTTCTAGAAGAAATAAAAGAATTAAAATATGAGGCCCAGATGACAACCGAGAAATCAACACCACAAGCCATTGCTGGGCAGCAAGTCAGGGATGCAGCCATGACACCTTTAAGAGCATCATCACCCGAGTTTCCATCTGGTAAATATAAAAACTTAAAAATTCTTTATAATTACTACAAAAATTGTATAATAATTATACATTTCTAAAAATATATTATTTTTAGATGAAGATATCAATTTCTCAAAAAAAAGAAAACAAAACTTTCTTGTCTCATACTTACAAAGCAAGCAAGACCAAGAGCATCAGTTGAAAGAGGAAGAATTAAATTTAAAGAAAGAACAACTGCAGATAGAGTTGAAAAGAGTGAAACTGGAACAAGAAAAATTAGATTTGGAAAAAGAAAAATTTGATTTAGAGAGGAAAGAGAGAGAATCAAGATGTGAACTAGAGAAAAAAGAGAGAGAAATAAGACTGAAGCAGGATGGAGAGGAAAGAAAATTGTTATTAGAATTACTTATGAAAACTTTGAATAAAAACTAATTTTTTATAAAATTGAAAAAAATTCTTTATTTATTGATTTACATTTTAAGTATTTGTCCAATTTGGGAGATAAACAATTAAAATAATCTGATGTTTCACTACTGTTTAAGCAAGTGTGACAGTTTGTAAGTAGTGCATCAACTATATAAAGTTTACCAACAGGCTGAAGAAACAATTTCAATTTTTTTTTTAAATCTAGAAATGTAAATATTTGAATTATTTTCCCAAATACCCATTCCACACACTCTTGCTGAACTTATCCTTTAATTAAATATTTGTTGCTTGGGTGTCAAACTAGCAACAGGTATTTTGGTGTAATGAAGTGTTGACACAAAGGATAACCAGAATCTCCATATAAAACAAATTGGAATTCTCAGAACAAGAAATCGCAGCCATGTTGCTCTAACAAATTAGATTCTCTTAACATTCCTCTGTCATGACCTCCTCTTTCTATGGTCCAAATAAATTAGCGATCATACCATCGAGTGTAACCACTGATTGAAATTTCAATGTGTGCCACTGAATACCAACCATCCTTTGGTGTTTTTTTTTTTTAGGTCGACAAGTAGGACGTGCTGTTCCATGTATGAACGAACCCCCAACAATTTGTCAAAGGAGTACCTTTTGCTGTTATTACTTGGCTAAATAATTTTAATGTTTCTCTTGTTAATTTTATTTCGTTGATATTCAATAACAATTTAGAATGACTATTGTAAATGATATTTAGTATTTCTTGTACAAATCGTGAAAGTTCACTTTTTATTCTCCTCGAGAAAACAAAAATATCAAGCCTATTAGTTAAGAGAAAATCGTAAAAAAGTACGTAATGCATCAATTCCAAGTGAGCGTGATCCATTTTCACAAATAATTATAGAAGGAAAACGTAAAGCAGAACGGAGGTGAAACAAATCATCTCTTGAAAATCTTAAAATTATAAAATTTTATAAGTATGACGAGCAGTCACGTGGCAGAGTTACTGTAATTGATGTCGAGCCACGTGATACTGTACTCCGCCGTTTAATATGTTACTCCACAACCGAAACGAGCTTAAACAATGCCGGTCTGAACGGTGCAGAGTCGGCAAGTAGTTCTACAGATTTTTTGTTTATAGCGCTTTCTATATGGGTCGAAGACAAAAAATTCTGCGTAGTTTGGAAATGACTATCAAATATGTGCCTGTAAAAAGAATTTAAAAGAAAACGCGTAATAGTAAAAATCTATAGTTTATCTCGATTTTTATGAAATGATTATTTATGATTATGTTCGGAAGGTGGCGCTTTATCGAGAGCTGGTCTTTCAAGTCGGGAGGTTGATGTCTACTAACATTTATTAATTAATTTCGTCCATTTTTTGTAGCTAAATATAATTGGTAAGAGAATTTGGTACTTAATTCTTTAAAACCCATATTTATACAGTATCAATTATTACTTAAGAGTAAGGAAAAGCTTACAAACTGCTGGAATTTTATTGCTGTAGCAAATTACTTTCATATCTTGAATGAGAGTGAAGAAAATATAGGATTAGTCATCAAAAATGTATTGTCACAAAAGTCTGTAGTCATTTATTGTTTTCAGCCACTTGAAAAACTTAAGTTACAAAACAAAAATTTAGCACAGCAGTAATAGAAAATAAAAATTAGGTTAAGGTAGATAAAAATGAGGTAATTAGTTTATATGCATGCATGTACAGTACTAATTACCTAAAGGTAACTTTCCCTCAAATTATATGCATATATGGAATGCATATAATGCCACTTTACTTAATTGTAATTTTAATATTAACATAAATAATCACCACTGTGTTGATAGAGATTTAAATGAATTTGTGAATATTTGCTACAACTAAAAAAAAAAATGTTGAAATAGTAACATCAAACACAATAGCAGATATAAAAGTACACAAAGGGGAAACAACTCAAAAATTTTAAATAATGTGTGCATGACAAATGTATTGTGGATGGTCAAATAAATCATTTTGCCATTATATTTTTAAAAACAATGTTTTGAAGTTTGAGCAATTTTTTTTTCAATGGGAAGAGCTAAAGCATGTATAGTCTTCTCTCCCCATTGTATCTGCCACTGATTGAATATATTTAAAGTAATATCTGCAGTTTTATGAATTGCTAAGGTGACCAATCGTTTTCCTTTTGTAAGTTCTGCCCTCCTGTGAAAAGTGTCCTCCTACATGTCCTCCTTTTTGATATTTGAAGACTAATCTGTAAATCTCCGTATTCAATCAATGCCAGAACGATCCATTGTGTGTGATGTGATATGACGCGTTTGTATTTAACATGATGATTCATCAAGGCTCTGTACAGTGTGACGAGATGCAATTATGAGATGCATGCTCTTTGCACAGACCTAGAGAGAGAGAGCACATGTGCAAATGGCTTTGTTTACTTCTTATTGAAACATGACATGGCACCTATGCATGCAGTAAAGATTATTATAGTGTACTAGTTTACCCGTTGCGCATTGCTGCGATCTCAGAAGAAACGAAATTCAAGCAAACTCATTATGATAAAATTAAATTTACATTTTATCATTTTTATTGAAACTTATTATTATTATTATTATTATTAATTTTCATTGGGAAAACATTTCAAAGTGTCGTTTCACTTCTGTTTATTTATTGGGGTACTTGTGGATACACGATATTTTTTGTATTTCCGTCAGGTGCATACACGAATAAATCAGGTTTTCCAATGCGTGAGCTGGCCACATACAGTTGTACATGTGAGAAGCACGGATTCTTTAAATTTAGCCCACATACTCGCAGAGATTGTTAGAAGTGCGATATTCCCCATTTTTATATATTATAACGAAATTTCTCTAAAAGATTGAAAACTTTCTGAAATAAAATACTTATAAGGTGAAAAAATAACATAAATTATTTATTCGAATAAAAAATATATATGCAAAATATTTAAATTTAAGCGAAGTACATGAAAAAGTTACGCAAAAAAAAAACAAAAAATGAAGTACTCCACTGTAAAGTTAAATCTTTTTTAATCCTTTATAATTTTGATTATTTAATTGCTTCTTCCACTCTTCCCTGGCATGTTGTGAAATTTCTGATAGTTGAATAATAAACCGTTTTATTGTAATTTGTCTTTTTAAATTATTTTGAGTTGATATTAAAATTTAGAAAAGGGGGATCCCTAGATCAGTAAAATAGGCAAATTTCCTTCTACAACTTCGGTTGTTGTTCGGGATACAGTTAAGGTTTTAACAAAGTTCGAGCGAATACATAATTAGCAAAAAAAAAGTTGAAATAAAGTGATTAAACAAAAATTATTGCAAATATTGTAAATAACAGTTCACAAATGCATATATAGAGATATTTTTTGGAGGGGAGGAAATGGTCTTCACAATTTGAAATCGATCGAACACACAGTAAAATGCTCGTATACACGCGCGCCATCTATCGTAGGATAAATGTACAATGCCAGAAACCTTTGCGGGAGTGTGTTAAAAAACTTTCCAAAGTTTCATGGCAATCATACTATGCCAGAAACTTTTGCGGGAGTATATTAAACAACTTCCCAAAGTTTCGTGGCAATAGGATAAACGGTGTGGTAATGCATGAAGGACACACACACACACACACACACACACACACACACANTATATATATATATATATATATATATATATATATATATATATATATATATATATATATATATATATATATATATATATATATATATATATATATATATATATATATATATATATATATATATATATATATATATATATATATATATATATATATATATATATATATATATATATATATATATATATATATATATATATATATATATATATATATATATATATATATATATATATATATATATATATATATATATATATATATATATATATATATATATATATATATATATATATATATATATATATATATATATATATATATATATATATATATATATATATATATATATATATATATATATATATATATATATATATATATATATATATATATATATATATATACAATTACAATTTTAGTAATGCAATAAAAAAGTTAAAGCAAAGGAAATAAAATATGAAAAGATCTGAACAAATACTAACATGTAGTACATTTATTTTCAATAAAATGTTATCAGTTTTATGTGTTTAAAAATAATTAACTCATTCTTATAATCAAGTTTATTAAATGTGGTGTAAATTCAAATAAATGATCAACTGTAAATATGTAAATATTAATTGTATTATTTGAACTTTATTTTTTGATAATTATACTAAAAGGTGTCATTTATATATATAAAAGGTGTCACCTTTATATATATATATATATATATATATATACACCTAATATTATAATTATATTAATTGCATTTTTATACATATGAACACACAATTAATTACATATAACTACACAAAACAATTGCAATTGTTCTTAACTTTCATTCTCTGGACAACAGATAATTCATTCTGTGAATCCATTGTTACTTTACACCAGGGTTTTTCCAATGAGGTTCATATTGACCTCTTATGGATCTATGAAAGTTTAAGGGAGTTGATAAAACTTTGCATATAAAAAATATAGTTAAAAATACAAATTTTACACATCTTTTGCCCATATACCCCTCAGTTTAACTGCCATAGTGTTTTTGTGATAAGGGATTGGTTAACGGATAAGATTGCCAACAACACACCACACCAACAAATTCTAGAGTTGTCACATTTGTATTAATCCTCCTTTTTCCAATTTGACAATAACTTATATCTATGGAAAGCCTCATCTGGTAACCTCTGTATGCTTCCTAGAAGACAAGACCCACCTGATGTTCCTCCCAAACATAATCATATATAAAAGCTACATAGATGACATTTTTATCATGTGGAGGTCAAAAACCTGATATAGGAGCCTTTTTAAGGCTAATGTCATACAAGCATGAAAACACATGGATGCTGTTTTTTCGATTCACAGACAGAAAGGCTGTCATCAGAAGAGTACTGTTTTTCATGGAGTGTGTTGGTAATCAGTTTCATTTCAGACATGTTTATGTCAACATGGATCTCATAGACTGTGATGTGTTGTTTTTTAAAATAACGTACCAGTGAGCCTGTTATCGGTGTGCGTCTCTTACTTATAAGATTGAATTGGAACACCAGGTTCCAATTCAATCTAATTTGAATTTGAATTGCATTTGTTCAGAAGTTATGTTACCTGAAGAAGAACCTGTGAGTTTGAAAATGTTTGTAACAGTTGGTTTAGTAAGAGAGACACACTGGTAACAGGCTCACTGGTACATTATTTTGACTTTACTCCAGTGTAGTAATATTGTTATTTGTTGTTTTTTATTACATGCAGAAGTATTTAAAAACAAAAAAAAGGATGTATGCAATATTGAGTATGTCCTTCTGGTTGTAATTGGCCTTCCTTTTTCTTATTTCTGTCTTTATAAAGTTTAAATGAAGTTTCTCTCAATTCTAGCCCATCACTAATATGTATGATCATTTTACTTATATCCATGTCCATTTTTAAAATAAATGGGTACCATATACCCTTTGGCAGGAATGATGCTGACCCAGTATTTCCGCGAAACAATGTTACCACATCCATTGTTTTTCACAGTTGTCTGACGACTGTAGGCTTGAAGTGTATCTCCCAGCACACAATGGTCACACAACATCATGTGATGATTGCAGATGATCCAGCAGCCTGTCTGTGCCATGCAATGTAATTTTTCGTGTCTGTGTGAGGCTCTGGACAGGTCCGAACCCTCACTAAAATTCGCATTAAAATAATTGTTTTAGAAAAAAAATATATATTAGTTAGAAATAGCTTTTTATTTTATGAAAACGCGACGCTAGACAATAGAAGACTTTTAAACAATAGAAGAAAGTAAGTCCGTCGACCATTTCCGGTTGGAGATCGAATTAAACTTCGATTTTGACCTCTCCCGCGCCCTCGAAAGGTTTTGAATTGTCATCAGGTGACGACGGGAGACCAATCGGAAAGGGGAATCTGAGAGAAAACGGATAAAACCCCGGAAATTCGAGGACGCGACGGCTTCTTCTCCCGAAAGTTCCAAGTGACGGATCTGTTGTTGTGTGTGTGTCTCGCACCCATCTTCGTCTCCATCTCCCGACCTCGGATCGACATCGTTCCATCAACGGAAGTCGACCGCATCGTCCCGGAGTCATCGAGAC